CAAAAAAAACAAAAATGAAAAGACTTTTTTACACATGGTTAAACAAATGGTAACACATATTTTGTAATTGTAATTGTATAGCGGCAAAAAAAAAAACTAAACTAAACAAAACAAAACAAAAGCATGGACCTCATATATTAATATCATCATCACCATTTTTTTTATTTGGTTGAAAGAATCCTACCTGAATTTTTTTGTTTTCATCCACATATATTGGATAGCCAGCACACAACTTCAGGCATTTCAACATATTTTTGAAATGAGAAAAAAAAACAAAAATAGAATAATAATAGAATTTTATTTGTCTTTTTTTCAAACATTTCATTCCATTCGTGACATATATACAGGAAAATTCAAATTCAAATTATTATTTTTTTTCTACTTACCAAAAAACATCAGCAATAAACAAGAAGAAGAATGAATGAATGAATGAATGAACAATTATCCAAATGTAGTTCCAAAAACAAATAGTGTTATTGTGTGTGTGTTATATGTATGTCGGCATTTTTTTTCCGGAATTTGAACCAAAAAAAAACAAAAAAATTGAATTCAAATGAAAAATTCTTTATTTAAAAAAAAAATCGTTCTTTGTTTTTTTTACTTTGATGCTTAAGTGTGTTTCAGTGTTTCGGTGTCGGTGTCAGTGTGTGTGTGTGTGTTGGTGCATAAATAATAATAATTTTTTTTTCTTTTGCCAAGTGTTTCAATATTAGCCATTGTGAATTCTTTAACATATAATCCAAACGAAAAAATAAAGAAGCAAAAAATAAAGAATCGGCAAATATTTGTTTTTCCCCCTTTTTTTGAAAAGAAAACATTGAATACAAAAAAAATACTGTAAATCCAGAGCAAAAAAAAATCCAGGAAAAAAACATTTAAAAATCTACTGAAATACATAAGGGATATTCTTTTCTTTTCTTTTTTTTTCTTTTTCGCATCGGTCCTATAGGAAATCCATCGAGAATTGAATATAACAAAGTTATATATTTTGCTTTTCTTCTTCTTCATTTTCACGTTCCATTTGGCTGTTTTTGTTGCCTTTCTTGCTTTTTGATTGTAGATTATCACCAATTATATCCACTTGGTACACCGATAACCTAGATTTTAGCAATATAAGAAAACAACAAAAAAAAAATCATCATTAAAAATGTTTGACAAAATACAAACGATACCGTCCATTAAAAGATGGTTGAATAAATTGTCATTATCATCATGCATCATCATTTTATTATTGATGTTTTTCCATATAGAAAAAAATGTTTCAGCAACTATATTTCGACCATTAGTCGATGTCAGTAAGTATCATTAATCTTTGTTCAATAAAATTTGATATTTTTATTTTTTTTTTGTAAATTGATGATTTTGTCCAATTTTTATATAATTTTTTTTTGTTTGATATTGGCAGAAGGAAATGATGCAATACGTCAAATACGTGTTTTATATGATTTACATGATACATCATCAATGAAAAATTCAATAAAAAAATTCAATACAAGAATGACATTTGATGAACAAAGAAAATTTTTCAATAAACCAATACCAAATGTTTTATATCCATGGACAACTGGACAAAGAATATTGATTAATCATCATCATCATCATCATCATCAGCATCCGGAAAAACATTTCATTTATAATCGACAATCATCATCACAACCATCATCATCATCATCATTAGCAATGAAATCTAAAGATTTATCCATCATTCAATTACAAAGAGGTAGACCAATGTTTACCGAAATTGATTTCATTCCAAGTAAGTATACATTGAGGGGAAAAACAAATATTTTGATGATGATAGATAGAATGCTCCAAGGAGCCAAAATATAAATAATAATGCAAACTAATTAAATCAGTCAGACATTTTTAATAATTAATTCAGCAATCATTTTCTTTGTTTTGTTTTTTTTGCCCACTTAATGAAACGATTGACTTTGTTTTTTGTTTTTTTGTTTTTTCCCCTTAATTTTGCATTCAATAAGGATATATACCTGAATGGACTAGCCATGTTGCAATTAGTGTAACATTACCAGCACATATACGTGGTAAACCATGGATACTTGGCTATCATCAGGAACAATTTCCATCACCTAACTGTAGACTTTGTACAAATTCCGAACAATCTTATACAGTACCTGTAACATTATTTTTACCCGATGATGGTTGGTGTCCTGAAGGTGGTGTACAAACAATTTGGAAAATTGAAGCACTTCAACAACAACATCAAGACAAACAACAACAACAACAACAACAACAACAACAACAACGACAACAACAAACAATATTAAATGGTGAAATTATTCATAAAAATCCAGAATCATTTAAATATCAAAGACAAATTGATCAAACTGATTTAATATTAGCATATGGTTATGATGAATTGAAACAAATTTATATAAAAAATAGTATTAATTCAACTATTTGTCGTGATATTCATGAGGCAATAGTTGCTTAAAAAAAATAAATGTTTGCAAAAGATTGTTTTGTTTTTGTTTTGCTATTCTGTTTACTTACCTATATATGTTATTATCGATCAACCACCTTTTTTTTTCTTTTCACATTTTCATCAATTTAGCTGATTGTTTTAAATGATGATGTATTCTTGAAAATATCTCTGATTCGAAAAAATAAAAAAAAACGTTTTTTTAAAAGTTACATGGACGCATCATAGGCGATTTTTTTACTTTTTATTTAACCTTTAATTAGGTCAATGAGGTTATTTACTTTTTTTGAACCAATTTACTTATAAATACGCAAAGCGGATTTTCTTTTTTCATTTTTTTCCTGAAAATAACTATTCATTCTTAAATATATAGATAATAATACAATTAGATAGGTGAGTGTGAAAAAAAAATACAAATACAAATAACAAATCTAAATTCCAAAGTTTTGTCGATGTTTGTCGCTAAGATACTATGATAATCATCATCATCATAATTGATTTGATTTGATACAATGGTAGAGCAATATCAACCGACACCGGTAGTGGTTAATGATAGATTTGGACGCTTTGGAAACGATGTTTTCTTGCCAAAAAAAAAAGGTGAGTCAACTCATCATATTAAATTTTTAACCCGCATCAATCAGTGTTAAAACCAAGATCATTGTATATTGAATTGTTTGAAAATCTGGAAATTGTTAATTTATCTTCCCAGCGAAATGATTACCTCTTTATTTTGTTTTACCGTTATATTAATGATGACCAACGGTTTGGAATCAACATCATCATATGATGAAAAATATTATTATCAGCCAGGTTTTGCCATGGATAATATTGTGTCCAGATGTGATTTTTCAATAAATTCATGCCGATTTCGAAATCAACATAATTTAGCATTATATAATCGTTATTTTAATCAAAATAAATTATTTTTCGATCGTCATTCATTATTATTATTGAATATTAATTCACAACGTTCACAACAATATCCTGGTGCACGTTTAATAACACCATATTATCAGGCAAAATATCGTAATGCATGCTTGTTTATATCATATCGTTATAATGGTCCAGGATTTTTACGATTTTTCATCATTCAACAAGATAATGATAATAGATGTATCTATTCGTATGATCGTTCCAAATTATTCATTTCATCATCAACAAATATAATTCAAGAAAATAAATGGAATTCATTAGAATTACAATTAGATTTAAATGAAGGTGATGTTAGATTTTTTTTGGAAACACATTTTAATAGTACAAATAAATTTGGTTATTTTGCTATTGGTGATTTTAATTTTGGTTATGGTTATTGTCACAATAAAAATGAAAATCATTGTTATGATAATATTGTTAATAGACATATTAATGTTGCACCAACAGCTAATTGATTTTTTTTTAAATGAATATCATATGTTCATATTCATTCATATGTAAAGCATAAATATCAACTATACACTCTATCACACAATATGTTCCTTTCCAGAATTTTTTCTTTCCCATAATAAAAACATTTCATATTTGAATCATAAATTTTAAAATTCAATTTTTTTTTTTGGTTCAAAAACAATAATTTAATTGTCATCTGAGTTTTTTACCAATTATTATTATTATTTTGTAAATCGTAATTTTGGATGTAAAAGTTTCTACAATGAAAGCAATGAATGTGTTGTGTCTGCTTGCCAATTCAGTTGATATGAAAGAATTACATAAAGAATTCTAATTCAATTTTTTTTTTCGTTGTTCCTGTAATTTCATTTCCCCATTTCATCTTTAATTTCTAAATGGTTAATTCTAATGTTATAATTTTTTTTTTTGGTGTTTGACGCAAACAAACATCCATCATAAAATAATAATAAAAAAAAGATAGGTTTACCGATTATAATTTATACGAGGCAAAAAAAAAAAAAAATTCTTCGAAAAATATATGTATTTTTTTCCATTTACCATAAATGAAACAAAAATTGGTGGGTTGAAAAGGAAAAAAATTTAGGCCAAAATGTCAGTGCAAAAGTAAAAATAAATAATAAATTCACTATAGGTTTCTTATACTGAGTGAAACCTTATCTCACGGTATATTTTTTGTTGTGTTTGTTTTGTTTTTCTTTCTTTCTTTTATTTTGTTGATGATTTTTTTCCTCCAAAATTGAATAATGTGTTTGGAAAGCAAAGCAAAGTGAAAAATTTGTTTCATGTTTATTTTTTTTTTATTAAGAGAAAAAAAAAAGATAGATAAATACAAACAAATATATCAAATTGGATTAATTTACAATGATGATGATGATAATAATTTTTGTTTGGTTTAATTTTTTTTTAAAATGTTGAGCTTCTTTCATCATTACAATTGGAAATATCAATTGTATCATCATTTTGATCATTAACAATTATTATTTTAGGTTTATTATGATCAATATTGTTTTCATTGATATTATTATTTCTTAATACATTTGTTTCATGTAAATCATTGTTGTCGTTATTGTTATTGACAATTTCATTCGTATTCATTCGATTTAATAAACAACATGATAATAATAGAATACGATTTTTGAATAATTTTAATGAATGAAAAAATGGTTCCATACGATGACGAAATGTTTCATTAAGCCAACAATAAATGAATGGATTATAACAAACCGAACTCATTGCTATCCAATGTGTAACGAAATAGATTCCTTTGAGAAATGAAGAAAATTAAAAAAAAAAATAATGAAATTTCATTGAAAAATAAAATAGATTTAAAAGTCAAAAATCAATGAATGAATATTCTTACCAAAATGATGTTGAATTATTTTAAATTCAATCAATGTAACATAAAGATGTAATGGAAACCAACATAAAGCAAATACAGCAACAACAATAACTAACATTTTGATACGTTTACGTTTACGTTTCATGATTGATGCACGACGATTAGCACTTACACTACCAATAGGATTTGTACGACGCCAAAGAAAACATCCAATTCTTGCATAGAATAATGCTGTCAAACCAATTGGTAATAAATATTGACTTAATGGTGATAAAATTGCCAACATTAAATGATTCTGTTTGGTTGGAAATACAGTAGCACAACGAATCATTTCAAAATCAACCAATAATGATGATGGATAAACAACAACTTTATTAAAAAGGCAATGTGGTATTGATAAAACGATTGAACAAATCCATATTAATAATATTGACCATATCCATGAATTTTTTGATTGTCGATATGAATGATTTTGTACAATATTGTTTTCAATGGATCTATGTTTTCTTTTTGTTGTACATTTATTATATGGACAAAATCGACATACATTAAAACCAATGCCAAAACATGATGTTCTGATTAAACTATAATAAAAGGGAAATGAAGAAAGAAAGAAAATGGATAAGATATTCAACATGAAATACATTTTTTTTCGCAATAACAGCTCATTAGTTTTGAATTCTTAGGAAAAAAAAAGTAAACACTCATCATCAAGAATATGATTTGCCGAAATAAGCACTGAATACCTTGGTTGTTGTAAATTTCAATTTTTAAGAAAAAAAACGAATGACTTACTCCTTAGAATAACAACAAAAAATAAGAAAAACTTTATCCTTTGTTTACCGGAAAAAAATGAAAATTGTACAGTAAAAAAAAATAGTTTTCAAGAAAAGAAATTTTTTCAAAATAAATATTCAGAGAATCAAAAATGATGAAATATAAACTTTAATGAATAATAGTACTTCAAGTAGATTGCGTCTGGAATTTATTGTCGAACAAAATAGAATTTCAAATCAACATAATAATAGAACGAATAAAATGACAAGTCAACAGTCTGGCTGTGTGATAACCGATTTCATTTGTTATGAGATTCTATATTTCAAAAAATTTATAAAATAAAACTCGTATTTTACGAAAGAAAAGATTTACCGATTGACGTTAGTTGACTTATTGAAACAAAATTCGATGAAAGAATTGATGAATAATTGAAAAGGAATTTAAATGAATTTCAAAAAATTATTTCAAAAAAAATAAATGTTGTCGTTTTTTTCGTCAAAATTTTTTCGATTCGAATTCTACTCAAAATAATCTTTTTTTTTGTGAATTTTATATTCTTCTGACAAGTTATGAGCAAGCAACAACAACAACAACAAAAGTGAATAAAATGGAAATTTTCCAAAGAATTCATCATCATCATCAATACACAACATGAATAATATACATGAATAAATAAATAAATTCTAACATTTATACCAGGTTATTATCATGTTTTCAAACAAAATGATTGACAAGGTAAAGGGGATTTATGGAGAGAAAAAAAAATGGTCGAAATTCGTTTTTTTTTCATTTCAAATCGAACGATTTTTTTTTTTATATTCGAACGTTAAAAACAGGATGGATGGACTACAATTTTTTTTCACGTGATCAATCGAATTCTGAAAACTTTTCTGAAAGCAATGTTTTGATTTTTGAAAACTTTTTTTTCGTTTTGATGTAATGAAAAATGCATTATAATTTGAAAATATTTTTGATCTGATTACATTCGTTTATGCACGAAAAAAATGTGTAAAATAACAATAACAATAACAAGATTAAGGTTGGAACAAAAAAAAAATGGTTATCAAATCAAAAAAAAAGTGCAATTCAAAATTTTTTGCAATTTTCTGCAGAAAAAAAATGGAATTTATTTTTTCCATTGTTGTTGTTGTTGTTCATAGTTGTGGTTTGCTGTTTTTCATATGAAATGTTTTCATTTGTTGAAAAGAAAAGAACCAAAAAAATTTTCTATTCAATAAAAATAAGCTGAGATCAGTGAAATTTGAAAACAACTCAGAGAGAGAGAATGGGATGTTAAGATTATAAATCTAAGAACAATATTGGTAGAAAACAAAAGTTATTTTGTTCAATGTAGGAAAAAAAATCGCTAAGAACGAACCATAAATGAATGAAAAACTGCGACAAACTTTTTTTTTGGTTTGGTTTGTTTTGTTTCCAAAGACATCAACAACAACGGATTCTAATGACACGGATTTAAAAGTTGTTAAAACTGTCCATAAACATAACATAACTTTCTCTTGTTTGTTTTTTTGATTAAATTAATGAACATCCGAATCTTTGTTTTGTTGTTGTTATTTTCATTGAAAATTCATTATTGAACAACCCCTGAAAAACAAAAACGAAAACAAAAATTGTTTGATCGAAAGTAAAAAGTTTATTTTAATGACCAAAAATGAGAGATTTTTTTTTCTTGTATTTTGAAATTCATATAATAAATTATTCATCATTGGTCCTCATCAGATGAAGTTTAGTGATTTTTGTTTTGATTTTTATGTTACTTTTGGGGAGAATTTCTATCAACACAAACATCACAAACAAACAAAAAAAAATTTAGTGACAATTTCAATTAGGAAAATCAAAAAAAAAAATGTACAAAACTTATTTATTTGTCAGGGATATATGTCAGTTTTCAAAAAAAAAAAATTTACAGTTTTTAGTTTTTTTTTAAAACGAAAAAAAAAAAATTCTCGAATTACCTTCGATAACGTTCGAATGCAATAACCATCATTGTTATTGATGAACAATGTGCTGATAATGATTGAATAAATGGTGTTAATATACAAATAATCGAACCGAATGGCCAATTTGTACTAACAAAACGTACCAAATTTATTGGTATATTAAAACATGTGAGCAATAAATCAGCAATTGCTAAATTAAATATTAAAATATTTGTTGTTGTTGTATTATGATTATTACCAATAAATAATGTAATCATTACACGACAAACAAATATATTACCAAATAATGATATAAAAACAATTAATAAATATGTTGTAATTAAAAAAATATTCCAGAAATTTTCAGATAAAAATATTGATTCATTTGTTAGATTTGTTTGTGTTTGAAAATCATCCATATTATCTGTATTTATTGATGATGATAATGATAAAAATGGAATATTTGATGATGATTCTTGTTCTAATAATAATACACTAGAATTGATTGAAATCAATGAATCACTTGATTTGATCAAATCGATTAGAATCGTTGATGTTGTTGTTGTTGTGGTTGTCGATAATGTTTCGCCAGACGATTTCTCAAGAGACTGAATCATTTTTTCATCATCATTATCATTGTTGTTGTTGATATTATCGTCGTTCAATGGCAATTGAAATAAATTATTCCAGACCATTTTGTTGTTGTTGTTGAAAAATTTCAAAATTGCTTATGGCAAACAAACCACTTTTATTATATAAACAATCATCATCATTTGATGACCAACATCATTTCATCATCAAAAAACTGTGACAAAAAAAAAAGATAAACAAGATGAAAAATTTCAATTGGGCAAATTTGGTTTCAAAAACGACTACCGCCGTTACCGTTGTTCACGCAAGAATAATAATAAATGATGATGAACAAGCAACAACCAAACATCCAACAGCCGAATTTTTTTTTTTGTTGTTAACATTGAAAAAATACTTAATTCAAGAAAAACGAAAGAAAAGAGGAGAAATTTTCTATAGAATGTCAAAAGAGAATCGGTTTCTCCATTTGGTTAATAATGTGTGCTCAGGCGCCCTAATATACCTACACAAACACACCGGATTTCACAATGTGTATTTTAGAGAGAATCAATTCATTTCATTTCTTATCATTTTGTAATTACAAAACAAACAAACAAACAAAAAATAAATTCATCATCGATTACATTAATTATTTCAATTCAATTTGTTTTTCTCTTCAAACATTTTTGCCTAATGATATTTTTAATGGTGGAATGTAATAAATTTTTCATACGGAATAAAACGGTAAATAGAAATGTAAAAGATGATCAAGATCTAATTTCAAAACATTTAAATTTTTTGGTTTAATCAATTTTTTTGTCTATTAACAACAATTTTCTTAATGTTAATAAATTTTTTTGATGAAATACTTTGAATATTTAAATTTTGCATTGTATAATCATCACCATCATATATTGAAAATGGACTATCCGATATAATCGATGTATCAAATGTACTTGATGAAATTGATTTTTTCAAACAATTAGATGATGATGTACAATTTGATGGTGGTAATATATCGGGAATAAGCTCTGGATTTTGATATGTTAACGATGTTGCTTGTTGTTGTTGTCCATTCATCGATAATGATTCGGGCGAATAACTTCGTTGATTAGAAACATTATCATGATGAATATCATCAATAGCTGCTGCATCATTTTTCATAACAATATCATTTGAATTTTGTTCATGAATGGATAATGTTGATGATGATAATGATGAAGATTTCCATTCTAATTTTAATTGACTCGAACTTTTAGCTGTTGTTTGTTGTTGTTGTTGTTGTTGTGTTGAAAATCGATTTAAATTCGAATTAATATAGGGTGGTCTTTTACGATTTTTTGGTGGTGCTAAAAATCGAAAACTAGCTGCTGTTTGTTGACGATTTTCATAATTTTGCGATTCATAATGTATGAGTGAAGGATAGTATCCTTGTGATTGTTGTCTTCGATCATTGTTGTAGACTGTAAAACGATCATCATAATTTTTTTTTGATCGATTCATTCGTAATTGACGATAATCATTCATAATAATTACAATATAAAAGATAATTTAGTAGCTTGTTTAATTTTATAATTCTTTCAATGGAAAAAAAACATCGACTATTTATACCCAAAAATGCTGTTAATGTAATCAAAAAAAAAAATTTCGATAATTTCATCGAAAACAATTAGAATTTTAGTTTCGACAAAAAACAGAACAAAACTTTTTACCATTTTTTTAATCTAATTTCTTATTTGTGGCAATTTGTGGAATGCGACACAATGATCATCTGTTTATGGAGAAAAAAACCCACACTGAAGCAGCAGCAGCAGGATTATGCCCCAAAGCATTTTCAATGTATATTTGTTGTATATGACAACAACCAAAAAAAAATCGCTCATCATTTCCTGCATGGTGATATTCACAAAGGAAACACAAATGTAGTTTCAAAGACAACAAAACAACAGTTTTTTGACGTAATATTCATTGCAGTCAAATCAGTATCCTTTTTTGTTGTTGTTGTTGATTTCAGCATTTAATTTCAGCAACAACCTTTTGTGTTTTACAAATCAGATTTAATGATTGATTGAAAATTGAAAATTATATAATTTTTTTTATTGATCATGCCAAAGTGTCATCAATATTTATTCAAGATAAAAAATAAATACTAATTCAATGTTTTTGTTGATGATCATCAAAAATTCATTAATTATTTTATCATTGTTTATATTGTCATTGATGGTGATGATATCGATTGATCATCATCAACAACAACAACAACAACAATTTTGTAGCGATGAATTTCATAAAGAATGTCATTGTGGTTCACCAGCAATGCCACCATCAACATCATTATTCACACGAATTGTATATCCAAATTCAACAATCAAAGTTGAATTATATAATGAATCTATTCCATATGGTTATGCAAAATATCTTCGTGTTTATTATAAATGTACAGATGATCGTGATGTTCTTGTTGGTAATAATATGCGTGAATGTTCAAAAGGAAATTGGATTGGTTTTGTACCTCGTTGCGGTAAATATACAAATTAATATTGTATGTTTGTTGAATAATATTCAAAAAAAAATTTTATCTTACAGCAATTAATAATTTAAATCAAACAAAATTAAGTCATGTAAAAGTCAGTGATTTTAAAGTCATTGATGCGATGAATCAAAAAGAAAATTTATTTGGTAGTTTTCCCGAAGATAAACCAATTAATGTACTCATTTATTATGATGAATCATTACAATTAAATCCAAATGGAAGTTTTCAAGTACCATTAATCAATCAACCTCATGATTGTTTACGTTGGAGTTTATCACCAAAACAAGTTTGGTCATTAAATTTAGATAGAAAAACACTTGTTCATTATGTACGTTTAAAATTATATGGTGATCATATTGAAGATCTTTATTTAAATCATGAAATCGGTATTGATCTTTCACTTACAAATATTTCAATTCAAATATCAAAAAATCATTCCAGACATATAGATTCATTACCATTAGAGATAAAATGTATTGAAACCATACCGAAAGAAAGTCAATTTTCAGCTTATCATCAAAAATATTCGGCCAATTATTTGGTATTAGATTTTCTATGTGAAATTGAAGAAAAAGAAAAATCTTTATACGAATTTCTTTTTGCTGAAGATTATGATATTGATGAACTAGTAATCGGAGTTATCAAAATAGGATTTGAAATGTTTAACATTTTGCATATTGATAATGGCCAAAATATCGACCTTGAATTTAAGCAAAAAATTTTCGTCATATCTCTTTGTGAATTACATCTATATTCATTTGAACCGGATTGTGGAGCACCTGATTTACCTGTAACAGCGATTGTTCAACGTGATTTTAATTTTATCGAAGATAATGGTCATGTTAGAAAATCATATAGATATACATGTCCATATAATCAGGAAATAAAAGGAAATCCAGATATTGAATGTGGATATTATGGTGAATGGAAAACTGAATTCCCTATCTGTGAACATAATAATCCCTGTAGTTTATTGAAAAATCTTACATTCATGCCAGGTTATCTTGTAGATGTAAAATATGAGACTACTATGATGAATAAAAAATATAAGGATGCAATAGTCCCAAATGGAAAATTCGCTGAAATCATATGCATTCGATTAAATGATCGATCTGACGTTATTGATCAACAACAAATAACCGATAAAAATGCATCATTCAGCATCAATATGGTTCAGAATAATAATGAATCAACAATGAATCAAAAAACCATTTCACAGCTAAGACGTGATGTATCTCGTATCAAATGTCTAAATGGAAAATGGAATGGAATGGAATCAGTTGATTGTATTATGCATAAATTAATTTTGGAAGAAAATCCAATTTCAAATAACGTATCCGATACAGAATTGAATAAAATTCAAGTCGTTTCTTTACCAGTTCGTTTGATACAGATTTTATTTGTTTTGTTCATATTTTTATTATTAATCATTATATGTCTATTAATATACATGATCATATTTCGTAAACGAATGACTAAACAAGTAAAAAAACAAAATTCCAAAGAACTTAATCAAGGCGGCATTGCAACACAACAACAACAACAAGAAGGCATGTTTCAAAGTTCCGGAATTTTAGGCATGCCAACTTTACATTTCGATCCTACAACAACATATCGACCTAATTTTTATAGCTCTAATGAAGATTTTTACGAAAGAATAACCTTAGAAGAAAGAGATTCACATCTTTATCATACAATACCGAATCCAAATCAAAATAACATACAAAGTCATTATAGCGATTTAAGCCTTTATCCAAGTTCATCAATTAAGTTGTCAACCCATTTTCATCAACCATCACTAAATTTAGATGCCGGAGAAGAAAGATATAATTCGATTTATGGCCTAGAAGAAGATTGTATCAATACCGATCAACCAAATCGACAAGATTCTTCCAAACAGCAACAACAACAACAAATTAACGGTGTTAAAGATTTTTTAGAAACAACATCAACCATCATAAACAATGATAGAGATTCATTGAAATATAATTCATTATCACGATCATCTACAAGTTATTTACGAAGAAATTCAATTTATGAAGAAACTTGAACGGAATTTGAATTCAATTTGAATTTTTTTTTTGTGTTGAAAATAAACAAGCGCCATCTTTACATTGAATAAATAACTAAATAAATAAAATTTCTAATTTTTTCTAAAACAAAAAAATCTTTTTTCATTTTTGTTTTTGGTTTTAATTTGAATTATTACAAAATAAAATAACAACAATCATAATACAAATGTATAGATAGAATGTAAAAATTTTGAACAAAAAAAAATAGTCATTAATTTGATAACAAGGAAAATAATTTCTCGTATAATTCATTTTTGCTTTCCAATCCTCTATAATCAACAACAGAAAAATAAATAAAGATAAATGAGAGAAGAATAAAAAAAAACAAGGACATCATTATCAGTAGGAATTAGTTTTTTTTTGTTTATAAAATATTTATCATTGAATAAATTATGATTCTGTATTCTGTAAATTATTCATAAAATTATCGACGTCCATTCATTTTTTCATTTAAAATAGAACGCATATGTTTTCCTTTTGTATCTAATCGTAATTTTTCCGGCTTTACAAATATTCCAAAATTAGGTTTACATTGAAAATAATGAACACCATTAACTGATCCATCATTTTTACCAATTGGAGTATCCAATATAATACCAATCCAAATGCCGGGAGCAAATTCTGTCTGGCCAATATAACCAATTGTTCCCAATTTAGAATCAGGACATACTCGTACACTTTCACCAATTTGCATCCATTCGGGTAGATTTATTTTCGGATAATTAGTTTTTTTAAATTCATCATCTTCATCACCGCTACCATTACTGGATGATTGCATTGATAATGATGATGGTATCGATACTGATTCATTGGAAATTGGAGTTCCAGTACTGTTTATTCGAGCATTACTTATTTGACTATTCGATTCACTGGAAGATAAATTATAATAGGTTGATGTATCGGTATATGATCGTATGTCATCGTCATCATCATCATCATCAACATTTTGGATGACAATATTTAAAGTTTCTGGTCGCGTTTTTTTCGAAAATTTATCCTTGACAGTAGAACGATCAAATACTATAAAACATTGTCCATCTTCTTCATCATTTGGATCGACAACAGTTTGATGATGTTTTGATTTGTCAACAGAAATTGGCTGCTCTTCAACAACTGTTACCATCGATTTTCGAAGTGGTTTATTCTGATTGAAAGCTTAATAATTAACAAATAAATAGGATAGAAAAGTTTTTTAAATTAAAAAAAATCAACTTACTGTTTAATTGTGATGGATATAATTCAAGTTTTATTGATTTGTTTTGTTGTTCCGGCTCTCCAATATCAATATCGGTGACATAGATTTGATTCAATCCGGTCATACTTCCAAACAATGAGCTAGCTTTTTGTCGTAATCGTCCAGCAGCCGTTGTTAGATATGATAAATCAAAAGAAGAATCAGCTCGTTCTTCTTCCGAAGGTCTGTCATAATCATCATCTGATTTTCGATAATTATTACCATTAATTGCCAAATTGTTTGTTTGATATGGTGTAGTCGGATGTTGTCGATATTGTCCAACAAATTGTGCCATGTTTGGTACAGATAATGTTTTTCTTAATTCAGAATTTTCGGAATTATTATAAAAATTATTATTATCCGTTGGATAAAGAAGTTGAAGTGCTCGTTTAGCTTTTTTAGCAATTCGTTCACGAACAGCAACTTCTTGCCGTAATCGATCCAATGTAAGTATCGATTCTAATGCTGATACACTTTTGGTATAACGTTCAATATAACTTTCACCATCACATGCAGTTAGATCAACATCTGAAGCAGCTAATAATGCTAATGATTCACGATCTTCAATATCTTCACTAGCTTTTGGTATGGATGAAACAATTTCATAAGTAATTCCCGTTGCAACAGGAGCCAAATCAGCTCGAGAAATACGTTTGAAAATGTTTTTAGTTGATGAAACAAGTCCTTGTTTCTTATAAACATTGATAGCAATACGTTTTCGTAGAATCAAATTCATATTCGCTGGATGTGTTATTGCAATACATACTTTTACTATCAAAAATATTCGTTCATTAGGAGATGTTATACGATTCAAATATGACGATTCATGTACTGATGAATCCCATGAAGCAACAGCTTGTACACCATCCATATTTGCTTGATTTGAAACAATATTTAGATTTAAAAAAGGAGTACCATTGTATTCTTTGGGTAAAATTGAATTTGCTCCAGCTACGTCATTTTTAGAATCGGAAAAGTTCATTTCATCTGCTATTAATGAGAAGAAGATTAATTATTTTTTTAAAATTCAAAATATTGACAAAAGATTTTGGACTTACTATTGAGATCAAGAAAAATAACTGGTATATGATTTTCCATACCGACAGGTGGTTCCCAACTATCATCAGGAGCTCCAGGTATTTCCGAACCTGGTGTTGGACATTTAGCAACCTTTCTCTCTTCAACAAGAGTTACCCATTGATTCATTAATCTATGTTCACGTTCAATATCTTCTTGTGTTTTGTTTGTATTTTTATTCATCAATTTATTAATTTGATCTTGTAGATATGCTTGACGTTTTTGTAAAATTGCTGACCATTTTTCATTTAACACTGTTAAATCACCTTCTTGATAACTGTCTAATGGTTTTTGAACTTTAGACCGAACACAAACACAACCAACTTGAATAAATCGTATCGAATGAAATATGAGTGGTAAAGTTCCAGAATTTGGCACATTTTCTATTCGAACTAATATTCGACGTTGTTGACCTTGACGTAATTGATAAATTCCACCGGTCAAAAATTCTGGTTGATGTTGAATTTCTACTGGTGTATATGTTCCTTGATCATTTAATTCATGAATTTCTATCCAAAGTTCTAGCTTTCTTTTCAATTCTAACCAACGGTCCATTAAAGTGCGTGAAATTTTGAAAATTTGTTCTTCGGATTCATTTTTTATTAGTATTGGATTTGCTGATATTCTATGACCCCAAACTTCAATGGATAAAGCACCATCAGTACAAAGTTCACGAAATTCTTCCGTTAATGTGATAATAAATTCACGTTCATGATCGAAACTAATTTGTTGTTGTTGTTGTGAAGATGAATTAAAATCTAATCGATGAAAATCTGTTGTATCGGATGGTGTGAGAACAATCATATCTGTCAAACCACAGACAGTATATTGACAAAAAACAAAATTTGATAATTCGGATGGAAGACCTGAAGCTGATTTTATTTGTAGTCGTACTTTAATTTGATTTGGTCCTATTGTCTCTGGTTTTTCCGAATCAACAATAATTACCGAATTATTCATATTATTATTATCCACTGATTCAATATCATTTGATGCGGAATCATCATCGGAAAAAGCTGCATCGGCAATACGTTCACCAAAATTTCCTTCAATTCGACCAAATTCAATATGTAAACGACCTACCATTTCACCTTGTTGTGAAATGATCGGTACTTGATAATCCAGTTGAACATCTTGCATTAGTACTTGAAGAAAAATATTGGCAACACCAATAAGTAAATGTCGTTCTTGTGATTCATAAAATGGATCATTTCGTGGTTGTATACAAGTTGGAGATGATGGTGAAGAATCATTACAATTATTTACAAAAGATTTATTACTATCGATTGATGTTTGTGTTTTTAGTTTAGAATTTTGTCTTTCTTTCCATTCGTTATAATGTTCACGCATTTCGATTAAATTTGAATCAAATTTTTCCATTGACCATATTTGTGATGGAAAATTTTTTCTTTTAACCAAAATAGCTGGTTCGGAAACAAATACACCACGTTTTAAACGGCTAGGATTTAGATTAGCTGGTGGTATCTGTAATGTAACTTTGAATTCAGTATTTTTTTGCATTTCTTCAGCAATCAAATTAGCTTCATAAGCTAATGTATTAGCTTTTGCTATTTCTTCTTTTAGTTTCGATAGATAGATACGAAAATTTTCCTCTCGTTCTAAAGCTAATTTTTCCAACAATCGTTGTGAATGATGCATTTGATTCGGTGTTAGATTTAATGATGAATTACTCATTACACCATAACTACTGTTAGATTTTGTCATACTTGAATTTGAAAGAAATGGTGAACTACCAGAAAAAGAATTGCCAACACTACCACCACCGGATTTTGACATCAATGATAATTGTCTTGGATCATTTTGCATTGCAAACATTGCTTTCAAATCTGGATCATTACAGGTAAGCATTTCATCACGAGCATAATTATAATCAAAATATTTATTTTCAATTTTAGATGTATTCATTGATGATGATGATGATTGATCAGATGTAGCCGGACAATTCAAACTAAAAAAATGATTATTTCCCCATAATATTCGATCACCATTTCGAAGACGTACACGTTCATTTACACGAACTCCATTGACAAATGTTCGAGAATCATTTATTGATTCCATCCATAATTGATTTCTGGATTTATCGATTTCAATCACTGCATGTTCAGGCCTTATACCAACACCTGAAAGTTGAATATCTTGTTCGACCGGTGCATCAGGCCTACCGATTAATGTTTTTTCCTTAAGATAATATACTAATAAAGCATTCATTGATGGATCAGCATTCAAATTGACTAAATAATAACGATCTTTTTCCACAGCAATACCTGAACTTTGAACAGAAATACCCATTTTTTCTAATGCTTGTTGTCTTTCTTGATGAATTTTTTCTGTTCTACGTAATTTATCTTCCCAAGTTTGTTCCATTTCACGGATTAATTTTTCTGATTCGGCTAAACGTTCTTGAAGGTCAGTGTTAACAGTAGCATGAATCAATTGTTCACGTAATTGTTCAACTTCTTGACGAAGTTCACGAATAATACGATTATTTGGATCTTCATTGATTATTGCATGATTAACAATACGTTTAGCTCGATCAGCATAACGTAATGTAGATAATGTTTCTTCATAACTATCTGCAGCCGGACTAATGGTCGAAATCATAATCGTTTTTGAATTACCACCTAAATTATCTTTTAATAACCAAGTAAGAACTGAATCTCTATATGGTACAAATTGTTCTTTACGATTACGACCACTAGCTTGATCGGCAAGTTTAGATATCACAAGACCAAGTGTTGTTAATGATTTATTAATATTGGAACCTTCTTTTAAACGTTCACCAACAGCACCAGTTTTAATTGCTCGTTCACTACCAGCCAAATCGACTAGACTCATTTTTGATACACGTTCACCTACAACATTTGCAACCGGATCATAAATTGAACAAGTTAGGGTTAATGTAAATACTGCATGCGATCTAGATGATTCAGAATTCATATTGGTCGATGCAACCGTACGGGATTTATTTCCTTCAGCCATCAAACTATTAATCTCATCGAATGAAGAAACAGCTAAAGTTGATAAACCATCAACATACGGTCCAAGAATATTATGTTCACGAACTTTTAACGAATGTCTTGATCCAACAGGATCTAAAAGATCATGAACTTTTTCATTATAAATTTCCATATAAGATACTTCTAATTTAAAATTTGAATTTGAATCTTCTTTGGTTAGATTTTGAATACGTTCAAATATTGAATCACATAATCTTGGTATAAGACCTTTTTCCAGTGATGATCCCATCATTGTATAGGATTTTCCCGAACCAGTTTGACCGTAAGCAAAAATACATGCATTATATCCTTGAAATGCTGAATCCAAAATGGAATGGCCTAAATTTTGAAAAACATCTTCTTGACTTGCATAATGTGGATCGGATTTATTGAACGACCAAAAACAATGATCAAATGTAAAAATCTATTGAAATAAAAAAAGAAAACAAAAAAAGATTAAAGTTACATAATTAATAATTTACGAGTAGCAAAATTATTTTCATTAATAATTTCCGAATAATCCGCGTGCAAAAAAAAGAAAAACAATTTTTCGAGAAAAAACCATGAAATTATAATTCACAAGATTAAACATGGATTAGATAGTGATCCATGAACTCTATGCATAACAAATATTTGACCTATGTGTGCGAATACCATAATCATTTCGTTTGAATGTGAAAGAAAAATCATTACTTGAAAGAAGAAATGAAAAACAGTATTGAAGAAATAAATAATGATTTGTCCATTTTTTCCCTTTCGCAATCATTGTTGTTTGGTCGAAAAGAAAATGAAAATCCTCAATTTGACAATTTGAATTTTATTCAAATGATTTTTTAATCTTTTTTTTTTGTTGTTGTTGTTGAAACAATATATTTGAATAAATAAACCCTTTTATTATTTTCAATCAATTACATCAAGTTTATCGTTTCAATCTTAGCTTAATGTCAATGTTTAGATGCATAATGATCCCATGTTGATCGATGTTTTTTAAATCGATACTTTTCCTTTACACCATATTGACATTTCTATGCCAATCCTTTTTTATTTTATTTGAATGAAAATATCATTTTCAATGTGCTTTATTCACAAACAAACAAACGAAAAAAGACATGTGATTGAAGCATCAATCATCATGAAAAGAAGAAGAATAGAATAGAATTTATGGTGTGAATAATTATAAAAACTGAATGAATAATTATAAAAATTTTATTTATTTAATTACAAGGCCATCATATTATGACAATGAAAATACCAAATCATTAGAGTAGGTATTTGAAATGACAATTGTTCTTTCAAATTAACAACACCTGTTGTTGGTTGGTTGAGTTTTCACAGACAACTCTTATAACAACAGAAAACAAAACTTGCTGTTTTTCTTTAAACCGAATATCAAATAAATGATGAAAATGAAAAATTGAAAAACATTAAAGATTTCATCATTGAAATAAACGAGAAGAGAAAAACAAAAATTGATCCATTTTTTGTTTTCCCAAATACAAACGAATGATGATGATTATATTCTGACATTAAGTTGTAAGATTTCGTTCGTTCGTTCAAAAAAGATTATTATTATTTTCACAAATGATCTGGACGAGAAAGAAAAAAAGAAAATAAAAAGTAACTGTGGTCCATTATCATCATTATCATCATCATCGTACTATTGTTAAGAAATATTATCGAAAAAATCCCAATCAATTTTTTTTTTTTTTTTTGGTTTAGCTTCCATAAATGATGATGATGATGAACGAGTGAATATATATAATGACACAGACTAACCACCACCATTACCATTACTACCATCATTATTATCACAAGTAAGGAAGGAAGTAAGCTTTGATTTTTTTTCAGGTTTATAAATATGAAATGTGTGAGTAGTAAAAAAAATATTGAAGAGATAATGATCATCATATGCATGAAATATGAAGAGAAAAAATTGGTAAAAATGATGTGAAATTTTATTTTTTGTTTTTTTTGTTGTTGTTGTTTCTGGATGCTCAGCTGCAGCTTTTTTCAACAGTGTTATTATTAGCCAGGAGAGAGAGAGAGAGTTTTTGGGAGAAAGTAAAGTTTACTGCGTGATAATAATATGAATGTGTGTTTCGGAACCATTTCACCATAATCGTCATAAGTGTCTGGTGTTATAAACGTTTTTTCTCTGTGTGTGTATATGATTTGATAATGATGGTATATTTACACATCTTATTTCTGTATTAAGAAAAAAAAATTCAAAGTGATGAGTTGTGATATAATGGGAAAAAAATGAAGTAAAATTCATCCAGATTGACTGAATGATGAGTTTGACTAGGAGGTTGGTGAGTCTCCGACTGAATGATGATACTAATTTTATACTTTCGTAAAGTAACCAGCTAATTGGTCATTTTCTGTCTATATGGACATTGAATGTTGATTTTCTAATTGAAAATCCAAAAATCCAAAATGATTTTTTTTTTCATCAATTTTTTTCGAAAGTTTTTTCCATTGATGACAATGTTGAGAAAAACCATTTGAACGTTTTGAAACGATTGTTTTGTGTAAGTGTGGGTGTGTAACATTTATTTTGACAACAACAACAGCAGAAAAATCCAAATATTTTCATTTTTCTTTTGAAATGATCCATAACGAAAAAAAACTTTTCAAAAAAAATCTTTTTTTTTTCTTTGATCATCATCATCAACGAACGACAATATCGAACGACGACAATAACAAAGACCAAGAAGAAAGCAGAAAGAAAGAGACACACAGCCATTTTCTTTTTCATTTGTTGATTGTTACATATGAGATAATGTCGTCAAATGATGATGATGATGATGAAAAATTCGATTAACCTCGTGACACTGGTTAATCATCATCGAAGTTTTTCCATTCATTCATCATCCAAACAACAACAAGATCTTTACCTGCCTATTTCTACTTTGTGATGACAATAACTAACTAACGACGACAACAATTGAAAATATTGTCCTCAATATCTTATATAACGAAAAGAAGATACGCGTATAGTACGCACTAACAAACATTTTCATTTCATAAATGTAAAAAAAAAATCATTCAAGTGAAAAGTGAAAATGTACAGGTTTTTCTCCTGTAAATCCAAAAACCAAAAAGAACCTAATGTTTTAATTTGAATTTGATGATTATGATTGATTGATGATGATAAGTTTATTAATGGATGTTAACGACGACGACTAACAAAAACATAACTTTTTTAGCCTATATTTTACTACGAGGATGTGTGTTTTCCTGATCACCCAGATCATAATCATTTGGTCAAATAGGAAAAACAAAACTTGACTAAAAATCATCAAATTATCACATTAGGAAAGAAGAAGAGTAGGAAAAAACTATGTAGATTTTCCAATCTGTTCTGTTTTGCTTTTGGTTCAACAAGTGTCGTATTTTGTAAACCAGATACACCACACTCATACACTAACGATATGACCTAATGAGAAAAAACAATGAGAACAAAACTCTTGTTTCGTTCGTTAACTTAAATCATTTTTTTGTTTTTTTGTTTCAGTATGGAATTGTTCTGGTTTTTGTTTTCAATGTGTTTATCATCTCAGTGGTGTTCTAAAAATAAAATCCGATTCGAAACACGAAATGATTCGATCATCATCATAGTCATATCTTTGTTGAGATGAACACACACACCTAATGGAAATGAAGCGTATCGTTTTTTTTGTTTTTGTTTTCTTTTTGAATATACCCCGGAAAAAAACGCAAACACAATGTTCTAAAGGCGACATTTTTATATAATCCAACTCAGGGTTAATAATTAATTTTAGTTTAATAATTATTTTGCAACACAATTTCTCTTGCAGCTGTTATTTCTTCTCTTGTGTTTGGTGAATAATAATTTAAATGATGTCATTTCGGTTCAAAAATCCATTTAACCCGGATAAATACAGATCATCAACCTTTATCTTCATGAAATCATGATGATGATGATGATAAACATTTTTAGATAAATTCATTAACGATATTTATTATTATTTATTATCAATGAATTATGTCATCATCATGATGAAATGTCTATTGTATTAGAATGATTTTTATTCTATAAATAGGAGTTATTAGATGAATGAGCGAGTGAGCGAATGAATGGATTGTAATAGTTTTTTTTCATTCGAAAAAAGAAAAGAAAAGAAAAGATTATCTCTCAATCATCCAAAAAAAAAAACGAGAGATTGACGATAAACGATGATATTGATAAAGATGATATTTTTGTTTTTTGTTTTTTCTTTTTTTTTAAAAAAAACTTACTTTCGGTGGTCTTAATGTTGAATTTTGTTGAGGCTGTTGTTGTTGTTGTTGTGGTTGTGGTGATCCGGATTGTGTTCCTTTAGCCACCACCGATGATACCACTGGTGTCGTTATAGTTGTTGTCAATTGTTGTGATGGTGGGGCCGAATAATGCAATATTGTTTGATCACCTTTAACTTCGACCACACATTTTGTTTCCAATTCGATTTCTATTTCAAAAAAAAACAAAACAAAAAAACAAAATAATGAAAATAAGAATGTCATTAATACGATGATGATGATGATGAACAATTGAACGAAAACTTTTTTTTTTTATTTTCGGAAATTTTCTTTTGATTGTTTGAACAATAACAGTGAAAAAAAATGTCATGATTTTATCCATCTCATTTTTGTGGGGGGGGGGACTCAAGGAAGATGATAATTATCGAAAAACAAAAAATTTCTAAAAGGAAATTGTCAACGATAATTAAAAAATGTCTTTTTTTTGTGTTTGTACTTGAATATTGTAGTTGCTGTTGTCAAACAAGAAAACATAGGTATGTATTTCAGGTAAATTCAACAAATTATCAATTGGTTACTCATGTGTGTATTATGGATTATTTTTTGTATTTTAGTTTTGTCGATCCACATTGTGAAACAAGTGAACATTTCTTTCAAGCGAAACGAACGACAATTTCTCACAAACACTGCATATACTCATATATTGCATTATCATAATGATTATTGCATTTTTTTTTGGAAAATTAATGACCATTTTGTGACAAGGACAAAATCTTGGATTACATTTCAACCTGGAAAACTGGATAAATAGATCAGATGCAATCGATAATTTCCGTCTATATTTTCTTATTACAATTTGTTTTTGGGTGAATCATTGTTTCTATTAAAATAAACAGTAAACATTTCATTGATAATGAAAATTGATCAATTTGTTTTTTGCCTATTGAAAATCGATGCAAATTTATTGAACGATAATGATAATGATAATGATGTATCATGTTTCCACAAGGTCATATCGTTGATTAATCAATAAAAAAAACATTCATAATCATTCAGTGGGGGGAATGATGAAGAAATTGATTTCCTTTTTTCCCCTGTCGTTTTTCATATTCAAAAAATGAAAAAATGCATACCAATGATGATTTGTGCATATTTGATCTACTCAATTTACATTTATAAATCCATTTTTTATTTATTTAAATCAAAAATCACTTTCATTCATATTCATTCTGTGTTTAATTTGAAAATATGGGTCGTCGCTTTGTTTGTTTTCTGCTAAAATGCTTTTTTCTTGCAAAACTTGGTGATCGAGTTTCAATTATATAATCGGATTCAAGAAAATTTGTAAAAAAAGGATAAAAATTTTTTGATTTTTTGTTGAAATAATTCCATTAGTTTCGATGGAAACGCAAAAACACTACACATGAACAATGATAATAATAATAATAATAATAATAATAAAAAAATTGAGCCAAAAGAAAACAAAATTTTTTGAATCCTGCAATGTATTTGTTCTCGTATTTATCTTTATTTGATCAAATTTTATAGACAAACATGTAGTGTATCTAGTATAGATTTTTATGAGCATTTACTGTTATCATTTCGATCATATCATTGTTATTAATGAGCACATTTCATTTGATAATATTGTTAATTTTGGATTAATAATAATAATAATAATGAATTCGAATGATGATCATTATAATTATAAACTCGAAATGAAACTAATGAATAAATTAAAAATCTCGGATTATTATTATTTGTAATTGAAATTAATAATTTATTTTAATTTCATTAGAATCGAAAATCATTAGCTTTTTTTTCAGGATTCTTTAATCAGTATTTGTAATTATCGAAAATCGTAAAAGAATCTTACCTCGACGACTAAATGGACGTATACGAACGGCTACTTTAACTTTATCGGTTGTTGAATTCGAATGTTGATGAGCGATATTCATCATTGTATTTGTTGATGATAATTCATTAGCCATATTTATTAAAACTTCGAGATTTTCTTTTTTGATATTTGATTTAATTAAATAATAAAACAATGTTGAGCAACAACGAAAAAATAATAATTCAATTACAAACAATGTTGATTCTATTTTTCTTGTGAAATTTACGAAACTACTCATAAATTCAAAAAAGATAGAATCGTTTAATTAGTTGATGAGCAACTTTTCCCCCTCTTTTTTTCTCAATGATTAATCAGCCGAAACTATTTCCAGGTGCATTGTACCGTTTTAATCATCATTGTTTATGACAAAACCAAAAAAAAGATGATGAAATTCGTTGTCGTTATAGTTTTTTGTTTTGTTCAAAAAATTCAAGGGGGGTATATAAAAGTCATGCAATCAACAACAAAAACTTAACTAGCCGAAACGGTAAAATTTTTCTCTTTGTTGATAAAAATTGTTGTTTTTTTTCTTCAAAAAAGATGATGATTATGATTATAATGTAGCCGGCTTTATTATGTAGGAGTATGATGATTATGATTGACAACAACAACAACAACAACAGGTTGACTTTTTTTCTGTTGAATTTAGTTGAACTTGTCCATGATTATTATCATCATTATTCATGTCTTACTTGTTCTTTTTTGTAAGTTGAGATTCAATAATAAATTGCCCATCAACAACAACAACAACAACAACGGGTCATCATATTCATCATCTTTTAAGATTATCATCATCATCAACATTTGTTACACAGGAAAAGAAAGATTGAGGAAATCACACACAAAACAGACAATTTAATCAACATTAAATGGACACATTATATGCATTGGGGGAGAGAGGTTTTCAAACCCCCAAAAACAACAACAACAAGCAAACAAATCCAAAATTATGGTGATGATATCAATGATTCGAATGGTGGAATTTTTTTCTATTTCAAAAAATCCATAATGAATTTCTTCTTCTTCTACACGATGACAATTATGATGTGATGGCGTTGATATGGTTGGTTGACAAAAAATCCTTTTAATGGAAAATGAAAAGCTGAGTTACAAAAATATAAAATAAAATAATCATATCATCATCATCATCAATTTATTTAATCATCACCAAGACAACATGATGATGACAAATGCAAAAAAAAAAAATAAAATAATTACACAAACAAGCAAGAAGATATTAATGAAAACACAATGAAAAAAAAAAATGTTTAACCAAATAAATAAATCAACAGAAAATCTTGATTGTTTGATTATTTTCAACTCAAGAAGGAATATTTTGCCGTTGTTTAACCCACGGTTATACAGGATGGCGACAATTTTATTTTACAGAAGAAACAATCAAACAACAAAAGATATTATCAACTATCCAACCAAAAACAAACGTAAAAAAACAAAACAAAAAGTCTCATCATGCATGTTGTACATCCACACACAAACATAAACACACTACGAACATCCAAAATGAATGAATTGGTTATCCAATTTTTTACTTGTTGCTACCAGTTGTTGATGGAAAATGTTTATACGCACATGTCTTTGGATTGAGAAACACGAAACTTTCGTTTCGAAAGAGACAAGAAGTGGTTTGTAAAATTCAATTCACAATTCACAATTCAAACAAGTGAAAAAAAATGAATTGAAAACTTGAAAAATGAAAGAGAGAGAAAATTTCATTCATTCTGCAACATGTTGCATTCATTCATTCATTCTGATTAGCTTTATACATTGAATGTATTTTTTGAAAAAAAACATGCAACAGGTGTATAACAGAGCCAAAAAATGAGACAAAGGTAAAATGAGCGCGAGGCTGATGGAAACCGAAATGAATTTCCAAAAATTTTTTAAATAATTTTTCTAAATTTTAAAATTCCTTTTTTCGAACGTTTTAAAAATATCTACGTCTTTATAAAATATTATTTTACAAAGATTTTAAAATTAACTTTTGTAAAAAAAAAAAAAATTCGATTTAAAGAATTAATAGCCTGCCAACAAATGTTATGACAATTTTTTATGTTACAATTCCTCTTGGTCAACCTCTGGTGACCGAGATATATTTTTTTTTTTTGTTTGACCGATTATTCTTATCCATATCCAAATATGTTTCAAAAAGGCAGAGGGTAATAAGTTTTTGGCGACTAGAGTTCAATGTTCAAGTACATTGTTGATAATTTTTAGCAAAAAAAAAATTTTTTTTTTAATGATAAGGTCAACAAAGATGACTGTTGTTTTTTTTGTTGGAAAAAATGACCTGTTAATATTTTTTTTTTCCAATTTGGTCATACACTATTTAAATCGGTTTTTTTTGAGATCATTTCACATTCAATATTCAATCAACGACGACATCAGCTTCGTCATAAATTTAATTTTCCAGAAAATTCAACCAAACAAAACTAATTTATCCCATTGTGAAAAAAATGGAAAATATTAAAACTGTCGTTTTTTTTCTTTTAATATCGATTATTGTTATAATATCGTTTGATGGTAATATTGTTGATTGTGGAATAATAAATCGATTATGGAATTGGGGTACCGGTAATCGTTATGGTCAACAACAACAACAATATCCAGGTGGTGGATATTTTGGTGGTGGATATTATCCAGGTTATTATCCTGGATATGGTGGTCAACGTTATCCAAGTTATGGTGGTCATTATGGAGGACATTATTACCCAGGATATGGTCGAAGATGAACACAAACAAAAAACTTTATAACCATCTTTTTTGGATCACCAATTTTGATCAGGTTTTTGCATTTTTTCGAAAAAAAATTGATCATACTAATTATAATTGCTATAAACATTGTCAATTTGGTTTTTAATTGAAATAAAAAAAAATTCATTATATTTTTTTAAATAAAATTAAGCGAGGATCCATTTTTTTAACCCTTTATTTTTGGGTAATATCAACAAATCTTTGTTTATAACGAATTTATTTTTTTATTTATTTTTTTTTTAAATCTGAATAATAATTATTTATATTATATAGAACAAAAAAATATAATAATTAATAATAACCACAATTATAGTAATCAAATTTATAAATCGACCAAATAACCGAATAATAATAATAATAATAAACAATGATAAAGATGAAGATGGTGAAACCATAATAAACAAGAACAAGAACAATTTATATATAGAATCACAGAGTTCAAATTAACAAAAAAATATAGCGATCCATTGACGAAAAAAAAATTACCGATCCATATTGATTTACATATTCGATTTGAACAAAGAGATTCGGTGTGGATTATTTTGTTTATTTAGGTTTTAACAATCGGTGATTCGCTATGCAAAAAACGATTGTTTTTGTCCAGATGATGAGGAGGATAAGAAGAAAGAGAAGAATGTTCAATGGTTGAGGAATGTGTTATGGTCGAATTGTTACAATTTGATGCTAATGCTGATAAAGATGATGTCATTATCGATGATGATGATGATCTTGGTGGTTTGACAGGCATATTTAATGATTTCGATAAATTTAATGGACGATGAATTGAAGATTGCATTACGGCCAAAGGTCCCATAGTGTCATCTGCGGCTAATGGCAGCAAAGGTCTCGTATTTTTAATCGATGAATCAAAGTAATGATTTTGTTTGTTTGTTTTCTTGGTCATATTAGAATTAGGATCAATTCCGGAATACTTCCCAGTGGAATTGTTGTCTGAATAACCATAGAGTGAATGTGGCCAATGAATAGCAGTGGTTGTTCGGTGATTTGGTGTTGCAGACATTGTCACAATCGTATTGCGACAGTTATGCATAATATTTGGAAATTCTTCTGGTTGATGATTATTGATTATATTTTTTCTTAACTCATTCGACTCGATTCCGTGATGACCAACTTTATCATAGTGGTCATTATGAATCATACCATTGTCAGACGATATTGGTAAAAGTCGTTGTTTTGAATCGATATCGCTATCAGCTTCACTACTCGGGCCATAAGATGATGATGAAGATGAGGATGGTTGAAATGGTGACAAAGATTGGTCATGTTGTTGTTGAGAAGCTGATGTGGACAAATTATAGGTTATTGTAGATGATGAAGATGACAATGGACAAGCGACTGTAGATTGATTGTAGAGTTCATTATGATGATTAAGGTCACCATTAATTAGCATAGATGCAGGTAATAACTGTCCTCTTTTGGATAAATGATGAGCATTAAACATGTCAACATTCAGTTCATCTTCATCTTCTTCCTCGTATTCATCATTGTTGAGAGAACAGCATTGATTACTATTGTAAACATTGGTTTGTGTATGATGCATATTTTTGTAGTAATAATTATGACTATTTGTCGATGTTGGGGAACGTTTTACGGATGATTTAAATGAACCACTTGAGCTTTTACCGTAACTTTCACCAAAGCTTCCAGCATTTGATGGTGATGGTGGGTATTGTACTAATTCCGGTATGAATGCCATGACTAATATGGCAACCAACACCAAAAGAGAGCCGAACAAAAATGGTGGTCCGGGTATCACTTGATCGGTGGGTGAATGGAAAAATTGATTTGTAGTTGAATTAAGAAATGTGATAAATGATGAACCATTCACATTTGATATCGATGGCATCATGTGTTTAAGTGTATCTAATGATTCGGCAGATGGAGATAGCACTGATGTTGATAATGACGAATGATTTGGAGATGATTGTCGGAGATCAACATTAAATAAACTAAATATAAGTCCAAAAAAACAAGGACCCAATCCATTGCATAGACCACGAATACCAGTAATTATACCCTGCACGAGTCCTTGTTTATCAGCATCAGCATAAGTGGATACATAGGCACTAATAGCCGGATAGGTGATCGTACCGATTGCGGCAATAATACCAGCACTCCAAACAACCCTGTAAAAATGATTAATAATTCCAATTAGACAATACAATTAAAGATTAGTTGAGTATCTAACCAATGGCTGGAACCAAGTCCAAAACAAATCAATTGTAACATTTCGAATATTAAGCCTATCATGATTGTATTTTTTGAACCAACTCGTTTCATTAATATGGCCAATAAAAGTGTCTGGTACGAGTAATAAAATTGTTAATTAACGAAAAGTAAAATGATGAATTCGTACTCACTTGAGCAATCACCGACATGATACCAATAAGTGCAATGTAGGATGCCACTTGAATCTGATTGAAACCGATGACTAATTTAAGATAGACAAAAAAACAGGAATACTGTCCAGCTTCCGGTAGATAGGATAGAAAAACAGCTACACACAAAGTCAATATCATACGATCTTTACCAGCACGACGTATCGATGAAAAAGGATCAGCAGATTCCCAAATCGAAACTGATTTTTGTCTCAATTTTTCAGGCAATGATTCAGGTACCATTAAAAGAATGTAGATAAAATCAAAGATGGCTACACCGGTTGCCATACAAATGACTAGATTGTCATCGCCCAATGTGGATGATATGAATGCACCCAATGCTGGGCTAGTAATCAAGCTCAAAGCAAATGTTGCTGTAACCCATCCATATGCATGGCTACGTTCATGTTCTTCGGTTATGTCCGCTACATAAGCAAATATGACAGAAAAGGTGACTGAAAATATACCGGACAATATAACTAGACCAAAATAAAGACTATCAAAGAAAAAAAAATCTTAGACATGACAAACACAAAAAATAAACAAATTCTACTAACCTGGGACTAAATTTCATAAATGGTATGGGCAGGCAGGTAAAAAAAACAGTGATCAATAAGAAAAACTTTCTTCCCCAAAGATCGCTCAAAGCACCAATAAGCGGAGCACTTAAAAATGAAAGAAATCCTTTCACGCCCATTATAAGGCCATTCATTAGAAATGTTTGATCGGGAAATGTAGTGTTCAGAACCTATTTTTTTTTTTTGTTAAATGCAAAATTTTAATTATTCGATTTGAAAATCTTCAAGGCTAAACATACGGTAATTGCAGGTAATGTTAGTAGACCCCAAGCAAAAAATTCAAGAAAAATAACGACGATTGCGTGCAACAATGATGGCTTGGATCGAGCGGCTGACATCTGTTTTTAAAAACATAATCATTAATGGTACTGATTTCATTTGTAAAATCTTAATGATACATACTAGACTATTGTTGACAAAAGATGTTCGTCTTCCCGTTCTAATAATCGCATTAACCATACGTTTTGATCCCATGTTTAGGGATGTTGATGCAAGCTCTGATGACGATTGCTGCTCTTCAGCTTTTCTTTCGATCGATTCTTCGGCTTCTCTATTTCTACACACTGTTGAAGGTTGCATTTAGAGAGATATATATATTTTTTTTTTAAATAATATATTTTGACTTGTCGTAGTTTAATATATGATATGATTAGTGAATTTGTATTTGAAATGCCAACAACAACAATAATGATCATGAACCGGGATCAATAGATTCGTTTATGTATAAATTGAATATTGAGATTATCTTCTTCTTCTTTTTCTTCTTTTAAAAAGGCACTAAATCACAATCAATGCAGATAAATTTTAAATTAAATGGAACAATATGAATCCGATAATGAATAAATAAACAATCTAAATAAAATAGAATCTTTTTTATTTTGTACAATAAAGGGTTCCGTTTTCTTCATTCTTCATTGAATCACATTCGAAAACAAAAATCACAGCTATGCCCAGCCAATACGATATATTTTTTTTTAAAAAATGTGATGATTTTCGTTCAAGATCTTTATCCAAACATTTTCCTCAAATTCAGTTTTTTTTTGATTGATGATTGATGTACACAATATTGTTGATTGATTTGACAAAATTTACTAAATAATTTTGGTTTGTTTTTGTTTGGTACAAAGGTAAATTCGAGAAAGAAAACAAACCAAAATGAACCAAATTAGTAGAAAAATATACCACAGAACACTCGGATTTTTTTTTTTTGCTTTCTATTCGATTACCAGAATACTCTACACAGGTTGCTGATGTGTTTATTCTCACAGTTATCCTTTTCTTCTTCTTCTTCTTTACGTTTGTTTGTCTGGCGTGATCACACACGGCACATAATACTCGTTTCTTGTTTTTTTTAATATACTTTGATGATAGTAGTATATACGGACAAATGAGAATAATTTTCAAAGAGAATCGATACATTTACCTTATAATGCTGCTATCAAATAAGGCGGGCAATGTAATGTGTATTTGTGTATATCATATACCGCTTCTTATTGCAATGGATTTTGGAGTTTGTGTTACAAACAGTTGCAGTTTTCGTATATATTTTTTCATGATATAGCTTGAATTTGATTGATCTGAAATGTTTCAAGGGCAAAAACAAAGCAACATTATTCTTGCCGGAATGTGATGGCTGAGAAAAAAATTGAAAAAAAAGGGTTGTCAAAAGTCATTCAGATGAATTTATTTCATTTTTTTTTGGGGGAATTTCAATAATGGTCACAAATGATTTATTTCGAAAAAAGAATGAATTGTCCGCTCAAATTAGTCCAATGCAGAAGAAAAAAACATGCATGTACATTTACGCTTGGTCGATCGCATTGTTTTCATTATTATACAAAAATCTCATTTGCTGTATATAAAGAACAGAAAAAAAATAATGACAACACCACAATGATTTCGTCATCCAACTAAATTATCATTTTACTTTTTTTTTATTATTTTGGCAGGAAATTATTAAAAAAATCGAAAGTTTTATAATGTTTCAAATAACGATCATTAGATGGCGCTTGTTTTAAAAAAGAATAATTTTCAATTTACGTTTTCGAATCGTTCGAAATCGTCAAAAAAATCGGTTCTGTGATGACATGCTTTTACTTTGAGTTTGACGAAATCGTTTCGATTGATTACGTTTTTTGTTTGTTTGTTTGACGAATGATCATAATGTTTGACATATCAACAACGTATAATTCATAACAAAACAGAATAAATCAAGAAAAAATTCCAGATTCAATGGACAAATATCAAGGGCACTTGTTTGAAGATATTCAAAATAGATTTCCATTTCGATTAAACGGATACGATTTTTTTGGCTTTGATGACCCCACAATCGACGTGTGAATGACATTTGTGAAATTGTTTGTCTCATCAATTTAGTCAGTTTGATGATTTGTGAATCAAGCCAAAAATAATATAACAAGTAAGTAATGATAGACAAAAAGAATGAACAATTCGTTAATAATGCTTCCGGTTTTTTCAAAAAATTTGCCGAAGTTACTATTAAATCTAATGCAGTACAAACACTAAACATTAAAAATGACCATGAAAATAAACCGTTCATTTGATGATTGATCATTGCTAAAGATCGTATTGATGATATTATATAATCAATATCATTATTGAATGATGTTAAATATCTGAAATTATTGACTATCCGTAACAATTGAACATGTGTTGCTTGTTTGACATAATGAAAAACCAAAATATAAAGATAAATATTTGTATGTATGATAAAGTAACCGATTATCTGCAAATAGTAAGCATTATTCCAACATTTGATCATTAGATGCCAATAAAAAAGTACAAAAGTAATATGATTCAATGTGATCACTGTTATGGCAATGATGAATATATTTTTAAATGATTGTGAATCATAAACTTCGGTCAAAATTTTTTCCTGCATAAGATGAATTAATTTTGGTCCATAATAAAAAAGATAAATAGCTTGTACAATATAGGTAAATTCATAGGCATATTCATAATTTCGATATATTAATCGTAGGAATGCATTTTCCAAATCCGATGAATTATAATTGAGAAATTTCAGATTTTGACGTTTATAAATTGAATATAAAACAACGATAAAAAGTATCACGTTCCATATGAAATTTATTAATGATTGCCATTTTCGTCGATCTAATCGGTTAGTTGGTGTTCCTAGATTTCTAATAATAATAAATAATGATATCATTATCATTAGGATTGTGTTTTTTTTTTAAAAAAAGAAACATAGAAAAATCTATCTAATCCTTACCCATAATAATAGCACATCCATTTGAGAAGTAGCGATTTTTCTGATTTATCATTATTCATTATGATCATCGTCGTCGTTGTTGTTTTATCATTGTAAATGACCATTTCTTCGAATGACTAACTTAGAACAATTTAACTAAAACATTATCTATTCTATTACATTTATTACATTTCGAATTAGATCGATTCAATCGATCGACCTTGTTGTTTTCGGTTTCGATCATGTTTTTTTTGAAAATGTTTTCCATATCGATCCGCTGATATACACATGAAATTTCTATTTTTACAATCGATTTGCCCATAGAACAAAAAAAAATTGATTGATATAAAGAGCAAAACCATTGTCATTAAATGATGATGATGATTTTTTTTTGATTGCGACATTTTCATAAGCCGTTGCATTTACATAGCCATGTGATAATAATCGTTTGCATGGCTGTATCGAATGCAAATTCGTATTTTTATCGTTTAATATGGCGTATTTTTTACGAATGATGATGATTTGATGAAATGAATGTTGTTCGGATGTTTTCAATTGAAATCTGTTGCTATGTTATGATTTTTTTTATAATGAAATTTAATTGAATTCATTCGATTCATACTTAGGCTGTACTACTATCCATACGGTTATAAGCATAAACAGGTTTCACTTTTCTATTCGTTTCAGTGTCGTTGATCTTGACCATCCTTTTTTTTCATTTTGCTCCGTTTCAGACAACGTTTGAGCTTCGTTCATAGTCGTTTTTCGTTTTGTTTTGTTTATCTTTTGGATTGGACCATAGATTTTCATTTTTCGAGAAAAAAAATGATCATTTTCCACCAAGTTTTCAATGAATTCCCATCAGATTCTTTTTTAACCTAATTTTGTTCAATATCATTCAAGAACAACAATCAACAATCAACCCAAAAAAGAAGATTCCCCAAAAAGGCCAAAAATGGAACCATTTATAACATCGGCAACAATAATTGGTGCTTTGGTTATCGGTTTAATCTTATTCTGGTTATTGATAACCTGTTGTAGTCTTTGTCAATGTTGTCCATGTAGATTTCCATGTTGTTGTTGTTGTTGAATGATGATATTTTATCTCGAAAAAGAAGCAAGAAGAAAGAAAAACTTCTAATTGAATTTCTACAAATGAATTTCATTGTTTTTTTTTTGTTTTGTAAATAATCAAATTTTCTTTTAAATTTTTTAATTTAATTGAATAAATTGTTTACCGAAACAACAACAACAAAATTTTCCATTTCATCATCATTATTTTTTTTTATAATTATCTTTTAATTGAATAAAATTCTAATTTGTTTTTCATTATTCAAAAAAAAAGAAGAAAAAGAAAATTTTCAATGACTCAATTCTCAATTGAGAAATGTTCTTGTTATTCCTTTTTTTATTATCATTATTGTCGTTTTTTATTGTGTAATGAGGAAATAAATGGCATATCAATGTGAATAATGATGATGATGGATGTGTGTGTGATGTTCCACAATCACTTTGTCATCACTTTTTTTTCCATAATAATGACAAAAAGTTTGCCCATACAATGTGTACTGTTCTGTTCACAATGACCGAATTCAAACCAAACAGTGTGAATCGACTAAACAAAAAAAAATGCCTTGAATGTTTGTCGTTTTAAACACAAAACAATCGAGATGCTCGAGAATTTTTTCAGAGAAAAAAAAATTGTATTGCAAAATAAAGGATTCCATTCATTGGTTCCCATTCATTTTTCACATTCTTTACGATATGTGAATTTTTACCCATCGTCATCGTTATCGTATATTAATGAGAAAAATTTCTCATTCTTTTTTCATTCTTTCTTCATTTCATGTTATTGGTTTTTTGTTGTTGTTGGTGTTTAGATCACTATTTTCAATTGAAAAACAATTTTTTATTCAAACACACAATTTATGGTGCAAGATAACTGCTGATGCAATAGCTGGACGCACAATTCATATGTTTGGTTGGCTGGTTGGTTGGTTGGTTGGTTGGTTGTTTGGCAAGAATAATTGACATCGAGAATATTGAATCAGAAAATGAAATATGAAAAAAAAGGAAAGGAAAAACAGCTCCGCCTAATGAGATAATATTATTTTTTTCTTTCTTCATATACTCTATATTTTTTCTGGAGTTTGAATTTCAGGAATTTTTTGGAGTTTTTTGGTATTGATGAACATCCAATATTTCAAAATGAAGTCTTTCATTCAAATGTTAAGTTTATCATTGATTCATCATTCTGTCTCGTGTGTTTGGAAAGACTTTCTTTCTTTTTGTTTTTCTGGTTTTTCGGTTGGTTGTGGTTGAAAAAAAAGATGGAACATCATAACGTTTCCAGTATTATAATTGGAAAAAATAATAAAATGATAAAATTTCGTGTTCGTCAAATGACCATCAATGATGTTAATACTGTATTGGAAATTTGGGCTAAAAATAATCTTCATGAAGGTACGCAAACAATACAATCATTTATGATACAAGATCCTGAAGGTTTTATTGTTGCCGAACAAATCTTCGATGATGATGAAGACGAAAAACCAAAAAATGATGGTGAAACAATGACCAACAATGGCGAAAATGATCAAAATTGTAAAAAAAACAAAAAAATTGAAATTTTTTAAAAATGTTTTTTACACATTCAATGTTTTCTTTTTTTTTTTTGTTGTAGCGACTCCGGTTATTGGAATGTGTGTCGGAATATTCGTACATCCGACTATAGCTTTTATCGGTTTGTATGGTGTTCAACCGGAACTTCATGGTCATGGCATAGGAATAGCAATGTGGAAACGAATGATGGATCATATTGGATCATTGAATGCTGGTCTTTATGCTGTACCTGAACATTTAACTATGTATCGTGATCGTGCTGGATTTCAAAATCCTGATGATCGTATGTTGATCATTTATGAATCTGATCAGGATGATCATTTGAATGTTGATATTTTGGTCAATTCTATACCGGAAACAAAAATTCATTTGATCACCACCGAATGGTATAATAAAGTGATTGATTATGATGCACATGTTCATGGTTATATTCGTGCCAAACTTTTACCTCATGTATTTAATGGTAATATTAATATTTTTTTGAAATTGAAATTTATTATTGTGGTTCAACATTTATCATCGGTTAGAGGAAGGTTCGGCAGCATTTGTGGCTTCGAATATGACTGGCGAAAAAATTTTCGGCTATGGTTGTATTCGTACGAATAACATTGGTAAAGCAATGATAGGTCCATTATATGCTGATAATGATGCTATAGCTGAATTATTAATGCATTATCTGTTTGGTCGATTATCTACACAATTTGCAAAAGGCCTTTTATATATGACATTGGATTCAAATCCGGGTGGTGAACGTATTGCTGAAAAACTTGCACTAAAACAACAGGAAAAAATTCAAAGATTTTTTCGTGGTCAACCATATGATGGAGCTGATTGGGATCGTGTTTATTGTATTCATTCACCTAATTTTTCTTTACTATAAAACTTTTTATTTAATCCTTTCTTTTCAAATATCAGAATTTTCTATAGTAATGTCCAAACTAGACAGATGGAGACACTATTACTAATCATAATAATAGCCGTGTTTAGAATGAATGAATGAATGAAAAAAAATGGAATGACGTCTGTTCTGAAAAATGTTTTTTTTAGAATTTCCCGTTCATATTTTCATTTTTTAATTTTAAATTCAAAGAAAACCGAATAAAAATAAATGTTTTAAACGGAACGGAATCATATATACGGAATATCTATTATGCTATATGTCTGTTTGTCTTTTTTTTTTGTTGAAATATATGTTGTCGTTTTTTTTCTGGATAAAAAAAAAAAGATTTTTCCAAAAAAATCCCAGGACAGTTCCAGGAATTTGGATCATTGTTCAACATTTTTTTTTTTGCTGAAAAACGACAACAAGATAACAGACTTGAAATTTTGAAATTTTATTGTTTTGGCATCTCTGAATCATCATGTATAAGAATAACAAGCAAGCATCCTTGTAAATTGTATCCAGTCAACTGGATACAAGTGTTGTTGCATTAACTCAAAATTTTTATAGATAAAAAACAAAGATTTTTTTTTTTGATGAGCACTGTCCATACACAGCTATATTCATTGCTAATGACTTTGATGATGATGATGATGAGTATGGTAATACTTAAAATGTCAAAAATGGTTTTATGGAAAAAAAACTACAACGATGATCATCAAGGACTTTAACCATATTTGGAACACTTTTTGAAACTGTATTGTTTTTTTTGTTGTTGTAGCGTGCGCTACAAAAAAACGCTGAATGTGTAATTTTTTTTAATAATTGAAAAGTCCAAGATACCTTTACAACAACAACATCGTCATCAAAAGATTCAAATCTATTTGACATTGCCATTTAAGTTTCAGGAACATCGAATTTCGTTAAACATTTTTGTGTTTGTTTGTCATTGTTCCATCAACAGAAAATGTATGTTATATTTGGTTAAATTGATGATAATAATGGCTATCAAACAAACAACAGATGAAGAACCGGTAAATTATGTTCAATTAGATTTTGGTAATCATCGTCAAACCAATCACACTAATCATAATCCACCGATATCTGTAATATCACCTCCTCCACGACTTAGTCGCTATGAACAGCAAAAGCAACAAATTGATAAATATTTCGTTCGGACTACAGTCGAACAACCATCATCAACATCATCAATAGTCAATAATCCTGATCCTTTGACAAAAATTCGTCAAGCGAATTGCCGAACAAATGAAGATCCAAGAGATTTTGCAACCTTTCTTTGTAAGTTTTTTTTCTGCCATCATCAATGTTGAACATAAATGAGCTAGAAATTTATTCGGTCCAACATAGGCATATTTGCATCGATAATGACAACCGTTTTGGTATTAATGTTTTATATTGTTGGTGAAACTGCATTTCGTTTGATACTTATGGTCATTTCATTTGTTTCCATATTGACATTATGTTTGGCCTGTTTTTTTCGTCGTCCAACGTTAATCATTATTGGTAATCATGATATTGTTCATGGTTTTGGTGACAATCTAAATCAACGATCTATCAATTCTCAACCATATCTATTGATTTCTCCAACAATTTTTGGTAAAAATTATTCTCATCCAACATCCAATAGCCAACAGCTTTGAATCATAATCAAACAGAATAAGTTGTTAAGTGTAGCAGCTGGCAGTTGGTCTTTTTTTGTTTTGTTTTTTTGTCAATAATGTCAATAAAAAGCATTAATTACATTAAATTTGAATGGTAATATTGTGTTTTGTTTTGTTTGTTTCTTGTTTCCTATTCAACAATGGGGTGCCATCAATTGGATACAGAATTATCGAATGATGATGATGATGATAATCGAATTTCACCAAGTATCCAAAGATCATTCGATTTTTTAAACTCGATCGGATATGTTGTTGATAACGAAAACAAATCCAGCTAAAATGAATTTTACTTTATTGTTCGTTCTGTTTTTAACATCATCATCATTATTTCATTTTGATTTAGTTGCTTCATTTATTTCCAATTCGGAATTATCTAGCCAAACTGTAGATACATGGCAAAAACGAAACGATATTGATGATTCATCATCATCATCATCATCGATAATATGGTTGAAAAAATGTCGTACAATGGAAACAATGATCGAAATGAGTAAAGATGAAATTGGTTCGAATGGTGAATTAATTCGCCGATGTCATGGTCAAGCATTGGTTAGCAAATGTGAAGGTGCATGTGTTTCTAATTTACGACCATCGATTCAAACACCAACCGGTCTGCTTAAGGTATTGTCGTCGAAGGTATTGTTGATAAAAAAAAGAAAATAAAATAAGAAGAAACTATTTATAGAAAATGCAAACAAACAAACAAAAATACTAATCAGTTTTTATTATTTATTATTTTTATTTTTCATTTAAATAATTTAGGAATGTAATTGTTGCCGTGAAACATCAATGCAAACTAAACGTATTATATTGGATAATTGTTTTGATCAGGATGGCAATGAATTGATTGGAGAAAAATTAATCATTACTGTTAATGAACCAAGACATTGTGCTTGTTTTCAATGTACTAATTAACCGCACACACACAAAACAAAAAAATCATGACATCCACCACCCAACAAGCAACAAACACCATCAACCATTCCAATGAATTATTAATTACTGATTTCTTTTTTTTCATTTAATTCTTTTGGTATTTGTAATTGTAAAATGGTCACATTAATTCTGATTATTTTAAAAAGAAAAGGAAAAAAAATGAATTCAAAAGAAAATAAACCTATTTCATTTATTATTATTGAGAGAATATAACATTAAAAAATTCTATTAAAATTCTTTTGTTATAAGACGATGAATATTTTGCATTGTGAATTTCGTTTCATTTTTGACTTATCTAAAAAATCTTACAGAATTCCAATATGTAGGTGGGAAAATAAAAAAGATGTCAAATTTTTTCATTCATTCATGCTTCCTTTCTTTTCTTTTTTCTTTCCAACAATCACGTCATTGCCATTATAAATATTTTTTTTTTCATCACAATAGTAGTTGGTCCAACGATTTATTTTTACCTCACTGTTGGATATCCCATTGGGATGTTTTTTTTGGGGGGGGGTTAACATGCTAAATCACTTAAACATTAATGGGTGACATTTTTATATTTCAGTTTTTTTGGCCATTTTTTCGTTTTTTGATATAAATCAATCGTCAAATGAATATCATTCATTTGCGTTTCGAGGTAAGCCATCGTCATAAGTTTAGCAGCTTTCAATCGGATCAGACCTTTGAACAAACAAGAAAATATGTTTCGAAAAAGAAGATCAATTTGGTTTGATCGATGGTTATTGTTTCAAATATCATTATTATTCATAGCTAACTTACCGAAAAAATTAACTGCCAATGGTGAATCAATTGAATTCACTGATTCAAACGCAATGGTTAATGATGATAATCAAAATATTGATAAAAATGGACAAATGAGAATGGCTGAATGTCATTTACGTCCTGTAATACATATTTTACAACGATCTGGTTGTGTACCAAAACCAATACCTTCGTTTGCTTGTTATGGTACATGTAATTCTTATGTACAGGTTAGTTGTTTTTTTTAACTAAATTATTTTGGCTTGTAATCTAATCAAAGCCTTTTGCTCACAAAGGTTTCCAATTCAAAATTCTGGCAATTAGAACGTTCTTGTAATTGTTGTCAAGAGATTGGTGAAAGAGAAGCATCAGTAATGTTACATTGTCCTGGTCAAACTCCACAATATCGACGTGTAACAACTAGAGCTCCTGTAGAATGTTTATGTCGACCATGTTCAGCCGTTGATGAACAACAAGTTCAACCATTAGAAATGTTAATTCATAATCATCGTACCCATACAGTGGATGAAGATGATAATGTCAATAATGGTCAACGAATTAATCGTCGATTCATCAATCATCATGGTTAAGCTATCATCTTCATCATCATCAACACCATAGTCATTTACAATTTTCCAATGAACCGAAAAAGAATTTAATGGAAATTCTTTAGTTAGTTAGTTAGTTCAATGATAGTCAAAACACCATTTCAATGGTTAATTCCTAAACATTTCTTTTTTTTCCTATTCAAATTGTAATGTTGTTATTTGAAAACATGATCCAAAAAAAAAGAAAGAAAAATTCTTTTTATTCAGCAAATTTGATATTCATTTTATCTAATATTTCAATTATTATCATGTTTTTTTTGGGCCAAAGCCTCATATATTATAAACGAAAAAAACAATCTATACTTATACATTGCATTTACACATTTGCCAAATTTCTAAATGCATAAACGGAATTGAATGAAAATAAAATGATGTCTCATGAGAATTATAATAATAATAAAAAATCAAATAAAATAAAACAGGATCGATGGCCAAAAATTGCTTCTTCTTCTTTTGTTTAATCAAAACTAAATGAACAACAACAGCAAAAAAAAAGCAAACTTCACACGTGTGATAATGAACCGAAAAAGGAAGAGAAAGCCAGAGACTGCGTCAAATGGCGCCTGCAATTGAAACCTAACAGTGAAAAAAAAGACCCTACCAATCCGTTTTATTTCGTTGATTTTTAATAAGCATGACACATATGCAATGAGATGAGCTTAAAATAGAATAGAATAGAATAGTGGGAAAAATTTTGAAACAAATTTTTCGTTCGGCTTTTCGGTTCCGTTCCGTTTCGTTTTGTGTTTCATTTGACTTTACACTATCTGATGATAAGGAAGCATCAGCATTCCTTGTATTTGCAACTTTGTTCAGTGAATACACACAAAACATTCATCAATTAAATAAATAAGTGAATGTGAAAATAACTGATTTTATCTGAAAAATTTTTTTTTTTACAGTGACTGAAAAACCAAACTTAAAATAAAAAAATTTAACATGCAAACATTCATCGTTTTTTTGATCAAAAAATAAAGATAAATTTGAAAAATTTATCTTTTCAACAATAACAAAAAAATAAAATTCTTAGGCAAAAAAATATCTCATTTTATTTCAGACAAAAGATTCAGTTGGCCTAAATTCCTGTTGTTCATTGAATTATTTTGTATTTGAATTTGTTTTTTTGTTTGAGCCATGTCAAGTGGCAACCAGTTCGAAAATGATTCAAGTTCTTCTTCTTCATTTAATGCATACATTTGGTCATTGATTGTAAATGATGAAAAGAAAATCTCACAAACATTATCATCGATAAATGATTCCATTGTAATCGATCAAATTCTGTCTTCCGTATCAACGAGTATGTCATCATCATCATCCACTTCTGCAATACCAATGATGAACGATGGCAACAATGGAGTTCATCATCGTCAAAATGATGATATTTTTGTTGATAAACCATCGTGGACAACACGAATCGTATCTAACAATGATGATACTGTTTCGATGCAATGTTCACAATTGTTCACTAATTCAGCCACCGATATTATGGCTGTCAACGATACATCGATTATGGCCAATATTACAAACATAACTAGCCTAACGGCTAATGCCAGTTTTAAATTAGGTCAACTAAGTCAACAATTGACCAATCAAAGTAAGTTAGCTAAATTCAATGATTGAATCGGTCATTTTGTCATTTCTCTTTTCTTTAGGTCAGCTTTTGTTTAATGAAACTTGGCTATTAAGCAACTTAGCAGCAAATGTTCATGATGATGATATAAATGTATCATCATCATCATCGTCAGCCACATCGATAATAATGAGCCAAAATTCTTCATCTTCATCATTTTATTGTGATGCTGTTTGGGATGGTTTTTATTGTTGGCCAATGACTACTTCCGGAACAATTTTAATGCGTTCATGTCGAGATATATTCGATTCAGTAGGTGAATTACCAAAAGATCAAATTGATGAGTCTACCTATAATAATTGTAAGTGATTTTATGATGATGATTATATTTTATTGATTTTCTTGATCATTTTTTTCTGGTGAATCGTAAATCAGGTGTAACTCACTAATGAACACAGACATAATATATGATTTCCTTTACAATCTTTAGATATTTCGGTATTTTTTCAAGCATAAATGAATCGATTTTGTTCATTATCAAATAAGTCGAATTAGAAATTGTGATTTCAATGTCCATTTTATGCATGAGCAATATTTTGTGGGTTTTTTTCGTTGTTGCATAACTATTCCTAAAGGAAAAAAAAGTTAATTTCGGCAAAGACAAAAAATAGAGTATCATAAAATCACCGGAATGTTGACAAGTTTGATAATTATAGCCCAAATTCCAAAAAAAAAAGGTTTCATCATGTGTGTGTTTCATATGTCTGAGTCATTGAACCATAGACAGAATTTTTGTTTTTCTGGAATACTATTTCCACCAAGTCCAATTAGGATGAAATTAGATTTGTGATTCGGAATTATCTAACCAAAAAAATAAAACCTTAATAAGAATAAGCACAATGTTGAAAACAATTCTTGTCATGAGTTGTTTCAAGACTCGGAAAAATAAAATATTGTATTGATTGAATGAATTATGATCAAGAAATAAGATCATTACACACAAGCACTTGTTTCCGCTTGATAAAAGCGATCAATATTATTAAATATAAAAAAAAATGGTTCGATCGACAAACCATACCATAAAAACAAAATGTAGCCACCTGATATATGATAACAACCATCATTGTTTTTTGCCATTAGATCATTTTATTTATGTTTTTATAATTGAATCATAACTATTCAATTTAACGAAGCGATCATAATCACAATCAGTCGTCATATGATTTTTATTAGGTTTGTTTGTTTGTTTGTTTGTTTGTTTGAATTAACCAAATGCTACCATATGTTTCGATTAATATTTTCTTATAGTTTTCTTGTTTGAAATGAAGATTCACTAAATTATGACAAGACAAGATAATAGAGAAGATGAACAAAAAACAACAACAAAAAGAAAAATTAAAATAAAAATCCGAAGAATGTTTGAGATGATAACAACGAAATCTTATTCGAACAAATGAACAGAAAAAAAACAAAAGCAAATGTGTAATACAATGAATCATAAATTAATTATATCAAATGCGAACAAAACAAATATATGGACTTGAATGGAAATGGTGAAAGAAAAAATTAATTTCATTTGATTAATCTTTCTCTCTCTCTTTTTCTTTTTATCTATTATTCCAAACTGTTGACAATGTTTTATTTCTGTGAATGTATTGGAAGTAATGATTTTTATTCATGATTATTTTTCGATCATTTTCATTTCGTTTCGTTTATTTACAAAAAAAAATCACAACAACAACAACAACAAAATATCCGAAAATAGATTATCAAAAAATAAAATAAATTAAAGTTTCTACATCCAGTATGAATCAATTTCGATAATCATAATAAGAGGGAATCATGTTGTTGTTGTTGTTGTTGTTGTTGCCAACCTGATCATAAAGAAAGACTTGTTGTTGTCCATTTTTGTTATTATCAATGTTACGATGACGATTATGACATCGACAACAACAAAATATGACCATGACAACCAAAACAAATACTGTTGTCGTTCCTGTAGTAATGGCCGTATATACTACAAATCTATCGGTTACTTCTTCACTAATTTGAATAGCTGCACCGGTGTTTGTTAATAAATTAGAATTTTGTTGGTTAGATGAATCTCCACTTCGTCCAGTAAATCTGTTTTCATTATTACGACATTTTATTGTACCGGGTTTCGAATTGGAAGATGGTGAAGGTAGTACAATCTCTTTGCAAACAAACAAAGGGTTATTACGTCCGGCCAATTCAGTTAATGCATTAATAGGAAATTGACGAGAAATTTCAATAGTTTCACTGATTTGACCAGCATTAACCGATTGTAAACAAAGTTCATATGCAGTCATTGATTCTAATCCATTGAATCGATACTGATAGGTTTTATTGTTTGTTATTGGCGAATCGAGTGTATTGTTTTGATCAATAAATTGGTATCGTTCACGGTTTGTTGTACCATATTTGCGTATATAAAGAATAAAATTAAGCGGATTTTGTTCTTCTTCAACTTTGGCTTCTATTTTACGTTTGGTACGACTAGATCCTGATGATTCTTCCACACGTAAATGAACGACAACTTCCCAGCCAACTAATATTTCATCAGATGTTAGATTTAACATTGTTAAATGAGTTTCGATTGATTCTATGTGTCGTGGTTTTGGTGGATGTAAATAAAGTATTGCGCTTGATGGTCGAAATGTTGTACGCTATGGGATAGGATATGGATAGAATGGAAAAAGACAATATGTTTCCCTAATTGATCAATGGTGAAAGTATTAACACATACCGTACGACGATTAAGATGTTGATATTGTTGTTCAAGATTGTGTGGCATCAATATATGTGTTATATTATTATTTATATGAAAACGTTCTTTGTTGGTCATTATTTCAAATCGTTGACGTAATGATGGTTTTTTTATACTGTTATCATTAGGAATTGTCATCATCATGGAATCTTCTTCATTATCATGATTAGCTTCACCTTGAACAATCGAAATGATTGTCATCATAATGATCCATTTTATCATTAAATAAAAAATCATTGTTTGTTATTTTGTTAACATGAAGAAATCAGCAACCTAATAATAAATCTGGGTACAAATCCGATTATGACGATGACGACGAATAGCTTTGTATTATTTCCAAACGGCAACGGTCATTGTAACTGATTTTTGACAGGTTGAAATTTATTGAAAAGTCCAATTATTTGATTGAACACTGTAACAAGAATCGAAAGAATTCTATCAATTGAGAATTGAGCACCAAAAAAACAAAATAAATTTGTAAAAAAAATAATGATTGCTTATTGCTTGGTCAATGATAAAAGAATCTTTTCATCGATTTTGTCAATAATTGACGATGGATGAGATCATCAAATTATGATCGAAAGCCAGAAATTTAACATTGGATTTTTTTTCCTGCTTCACAATATTCACCATTTACATCTTGTTAACAACCACAAAGCTCATCACCATATGATGTTCAATGCCGCCGCATCCTTTTGAATAGCCAATTGTTGCTATTCAATATATATTGCCATCTCCAATAAAAAGAAAAATGCTAGCAGCTGCTTGTAAATAAGAAAAAAAAACATTTCAATTTGCCGACCACCATGATGAAGCTCACGTGCAAACAAATTCATTCATCCATTCATTGCATTTCAACGATAGAAATAATGGACATAGTATGACGGTATCCATGACAACAAACATGACGGATCGATTGATGAATTGAAAAAAAAATATTCAATCAAACTGGGCAATAAAAATGCTTGATCACGAATTCAATCGGACAATCAATTAATAGTTGAGTTGCAAAGTCAACAATTGATTCAATGAAAATAAAAAGGGAGAATAAAAAGTTACCTGATCTATTGATCATGTGAATGAACACATCTGGCATTAACTATTATTTTCAAGAGCCATTTGTTGAATCCCTGCCCTATTAGTCGGAAATGTTTGATTGATTCGTTTTTTTTTTTTTTGGTTGATCGAAAAAGAAGGATTCACTCTCATAGAATAGTCAAGTAGTAGCATCAGTTGAGATAAATTCAGTAATGATTAGTTGAATTTATTTTCATAATCATCATCATCACCTAATACTTGGTACGAAGAAAGATTCATCAAATTTGACATTTATGGTACTAACCATAAAGCTATTTAACAAACAAACAAACATAATGGCTTTTGTATGTGTTTGTTACCCAAAAAAAAAAAATTAATTATCATCAAACAATCCTTCAGTAAAAGTTCCTTGTCAGAAAAGAGTTTTGTTTGTTTTTCGGATAAAATTTCATGTTTAATGATGGCCATTGTTTTTTTGCTTTGTCTTGTTGTTGTTGATATTTTTACTCAGAAATGTGAAAATTATTGCTGTTTGTCCATCTAACATTGGATTTTTTTTTTCGTTTTGTTGTCGACAAACTAGCTTTTGCCTATCGTATATGTGACAATAATGGAACATGGATCAAGAATTGGACTAATTATACTGAATGTTTAATGTTGATCGCTAATGTAAGTGCCATTTATTTATTTATTTATTTGATTTTCTGATTGTTGTTCTATAAAAATAAAATACATATCATTCACAGAATGAATCAGACCCGGATGCTTTTAAATATCAATTCATAAGACAATTGGTCATATTCATTATGTTTTCATGCTCAATATTATCGTTGATTTTGTTGTCGATAACATTTTTCATATTCACATATTTCCGGTATTTTTGTTCATTCATATTGTTCGCATGTTAAATATGAAAATTAATGTTATCCATTCTCTTAATCAGATCATTAACATCATGTCGACTTCGTGTTCATCGAAATCTGGTACTTGCATTAATATTACATTCAATATGTTTATTGTTGATTGCCAGTCCACATCTATTCAATCCGGATGAATCACTTTCTTCATATTGGGAGATTGTATGTGTGTTTGTGTGTCATAGTCGATTTATTCGATAACCGTTAACCTTTTTTTTATTTTCTACCTTCAAATAGGAATGGCTTTGTAAATCAATATTGACGTTAAAGCTATATTCAACATTAGCATCTATCAATTGGATGTTTATTGAAGGATTCCAATTACATAGTCGAGTTACCGTATCGATTCTACGTAGAGATGCTCCATTTAAACTTTATCATTTTCTTGGTTGGGGTAAGTATACAATAATAATAATAAAAATAGATATCCTATTTCCTAAAGCGATTCATATCAAATTTTATGTTTGTTATTCGGATTTTACTTCTCCCATTTTCATTGTTATTTTAATGAAAATTTCAATTTTGATAACGAAAAAAATTCTTTACTAAAATTTGAAATCTGTTACCATGTTATGAACTAATAAATATATAAAAAAAAAATCATTACATTGCCACTGTTAGCTGAATAGCTTTAGGCCTGAAAGCATCTGTTGTAATGGGCAATATATAAACGGAAAAGAAATTGAAAAAAATAAGTTTGTTTTTCCTATGAGTCATATGAAGATCAGTTTACCTGTATACTTCAATAACCTGTGCGAATACGAAAAAAAAAGATTCCTTGCATTTAATTTCCTCGCATTTTCCATTACTTTGGCTACTTATATTACGATACTCATTTATATTATTTAAGCTTGGCTGGTAAATGAAAACTAGATAATTAATTAGTAGCTTAATTAGCATAATTAAGATTGAGTATTTGACTTTATCCATTAAAATATGTGTGACTTTTTGATAATTTGTTTTCAAGGAATCCCATTGGTATTAGTGGCAGCATGGGCATTACAGATGTCATTGACAATGGACACTTTATGCTGGAATGGTTATGCACATTCGCTATATATATGGATTATTGTTGGGCCAATGATTCTAGCTCTATCGGTAAGCCTTTTTTTGAAAGCCTTTTTTGAAACCAAATTCAATTTACACTTATATTTATCGGGACAGGTGAATTGTATTTTTCTTGTTAATATAATTCGAGTGTTGCTTACCAAACTTCGTTTGACAGTAACCATGGAGATTAAACAAATTCGCAAAGCAATCAAAGCCACAGCCTTGCTTTTTCCCTTGCTTGGTATATCGCATTTATTGTTTTGTATTAATCCGGATGATAATGGCCGTTTAGAGGATGCTTATCTTATTTTTAATGCTTTTCTACAATCATCTCAAGTATGTTTTATTTTTAATGACATTAGATGTCATTACTTATATTTTTATATATATTTTTTTTCATAAAGGGTATATTTGTCTCAATATTATATTGTTTTATGGATACCGATGTTCAACAAGCATTGAAACTAACATATCAACGAACCGTATGTAAAAACGGTTCATACCCTTCTCGATATTCTCGACAAACTGCAAATATCACATCAACTAAAACACCGAATCTACGTGATAGAAATCTAGGCTCATTCAAATTCACCAAAAAACGACCAATAATCAACAATTTAGTTCGGACCAACAGTTTGAATGAAACAACTATGGGAAAAGAAATAACATTTCACGCAAATCGTTGTCTTTCTGATTCTTCTAATAATGATGTAAATAATACTGCCAAACAACAAAACAATGGTTTTATTCCGATCACGACAAAATTTGATATAAATTCTACAACTTACGCCCATCAAATTGACGGTAAGTGACAGTTCAATATGCTGGCCATCTATCTATCATCAAACATTTTATTATTTATAAATAGTTGGCCAGATATTTAATCAAAAAACACATTGTCATCGTTCGGCTAATGCAATAACACCACCTTCAACAATTAAAGGATCACAAGCCCTATGTATAATGTACAATTCGAATGGAGAAATGGTTCGATTCAAACCGAAAACCGTTCAACAGCATTTGAATCCAAAATCATCTTCAATTCCCGATGCTGGTATAATAACAATTGAAATAGAATCGAAAACAAAAAAAAGATGATTGATTCGGAACATTTCTACATTTGTGTTTATTTGTTTAATTATGTAATATATATTTATTTATGTTTCATTTCAAATGTTGTGTGTATATATGAATGGGTGGTGAATAAAATTCTCAAAATTTTTTTTTGTACAATATTAATATAAAAATTCATTTTCAATTGATAAATGTTTGTCAATAAGGTGTTGATAAAGAAAGTTTGGGCAAATTGGACGAAGCTTTACGAGGTACATTTTCCAATTTTTGTTGTTGATATTCGGTCATTGGTCGGCCGCCAACACCTGTTTGTTGAAAAAAAGAATAATTTATTGATTAGGCATTTGAAAGGAGAATACAAAGCGCAATAACCTACCACAAGTACCGACACCAACACGACCAGAAACGGAATCTGGAGATGCAAATATACTTTTCTTTTGATTGCCTTTCATTTTTTTATTTACAACCTACAAAAAAAAGTTATTGATTAAGGTGAATCTAGCAATGAATTAGGCAAACCTTATGGGCAAACGACTGCCATTTCATTTTATCCTTTTCTCTTTCCTCTTCTAATTGTTTCAATTTTTCTTTACGTTTCTGTTGTTTTCGTCGCTGATGTTCCCTGAGTTCTTGTTGTTTTTTGAATTGATTGATATTGGTCGCTTGTTGTTGAGAGCTGGAAGATGATGAAGTTGAATTATCCCCTGATAAATAATGAGAAGCCGAACCTAAACCAGCTTTATTTGTTGATCCTAAAGAAGATATATGTGCTTTATGATTATTATTAAAAGTACCGCGTTTTTTGCCCAATGGTTTTAACAATCCGACCAGACATACTTCGGAAATGCGTTTTTTTGTATGGTTAAACATGACCGTACATTGACCATCTGATGTTATATCTTCGACCTGTGCTTCGTAGAATCTAAATGAATTGATTGTTAATCAAAGTCGATTGTGAACATAACAACAATAACTTACTGTCCATCTTCGCTCCAAGGTGCTAACACCCAATCTCCAGCACTAAAATGATGTTCATTTGTCGGGGCTCCATCGCTTTCTAATGATTCTAAAGCAGCCAATTCTTCTTTAGTCATCATTTGTATTGTTAATTGTATTACCTCCTAAATGGTGAATAATGATATCGTATGAAATGAATATTTTCGATTATTGATCAACTTACATTAAGATCATGTTGAAGCGTTTTCAGGTCATCATTGTCTGGTTCATTTATCAGACTCATTTCGACCTGTCGTAATTGAATTTTGTAATTACGAATGTTGGCCAAATTATCCGACATTTTCGATTAATCGTTGATTCGGGTTTCTAAAAACAAAATGTGTTCCAAACAACAAAACAATTTCTCCAATTTAATATCACAAAGCTCACTCAATTCATTTCAAGTTGATTTCAAATGATAACTAGATGGCACCACAAAATTCATGGAAAAATTTTACATCGAAAGTACAGAATGTTCAATTCGATTGCAACAAATGATTAAAAATCGGAAAAAAGATTGGAACAAAATTTAATTTAATTTTTTGAATGAATAAATTCTTTATTTAAAGACAGAAATGTCATTTAGTACATAATGAAAAAGATTTAAAAACGATTGATGAATATTCATGGAATGCTAGATTCTTGTAATAACGCTTTAGCTGCCAGATAAATTTCATTTTCAGCATAATCTTCTCCCATTCCCTAAATTACCAATCCAAAAGTGGTGATTAACAGCCCGGAATGATTTATAAGCTGATTTACTTACCTCAACCAATTGTTGTAGATCGTGATATGCGGCCGTTATTCGTTTCTGACAATCTGGTAATAACATAGCCGTTTCATTGATTATTTCTTGCTTGAATTTTCAAATAAAATTGAAAAAAAAACATTAGTCCTCTATATAAATTATGATAGATCTACCAACTAACTTGTTTATTGATCTCATATTCATCTTTTTGCAATTCACGCATCTTATTCAAGCGTTCACTTTCCCGAATCAATTCTTGCTCATAAGATTGTTTTTCTTTGATACTCCTGTCAAAAACAACAGTTGACAATAAGATTTAATAAGAAAACGTTGTTGTTTTAGTTCGTACAAACCTTTTCAACACACCGGTCCGAATCCGAATTTGATTAATTTTAGGATCACTCATTTTGTTGACAATTATCGTTAATGTGATGGCAATAAAATGACTGAAAACGGTTGTATCACGTGCTAACTATAATTTCCTGGAAAATTTTTTTTAATGAAACAAATTAAAGTATTCTAAAAAACTTTCCGGTTTAAATTTTATTAGAACATCATGTATTTAAAGAAAAAATTGACATTAGGTGAAAAAAACGAGCAGATTTGTACACACTCGATCTAAAAATTTAATGGTGTTTAATATGATGATGAAATTAATTTCTGATCCAAATACAATTATAAGTGTCTCATTCATCGGATTCTTTTTTCATTTTTTTATTTTTCTTCTTTTTCTTTTTTGCCGATGCTGTTTCTTGGTCATCATCGATTGTTTGCTCTTCCATCATTTCTTCTTGTTCGTTCGACTCTTCGACTGCTGGAGTTGATGTTGATGGAGTAGCCTCATCATCCTGATTTTGGTCAAAAGTTTTTCGTTTATTTTTTGGAACGAATGTCGAATCAGCACCATCTTTGTAGATCATAACTTTTGATTTGTTTTCAAATTTTTGAGGATGCTGTTGTCGTTGTTGTCTACCCGTTCCACTGATCCTACGAATATTTCCTTCTTCAAGAAATTTGAGTTGTGTTTCCAATTTTGCTCGATTCTGTAATCCCAATTCATTGCTCGATTCTTCTCCCAATGCATCAACACGAATGGCTAAGGCTGCTTTTGCTGCCAACATACGAGACATTTTGCCCTTCAACTTGGTATTAGCTTGAGTAATAAGTTGAGCATGATAAATGAGACCATACTTAGGTGTGTCATGTTTGGTTTTCAATGCTCGAAACAAGGCTTTTTCTGCTCCCAATATTTGAACAGTGGATGCTGGATGTTTTGCAAGATTTAACAACGAACCTGCATGCGATATAAGTCGAGCTCCTACCAATTCTCCAACCAAAATGGTTAGATTCGGTGCTACAGCCATCATACGATTTTTTAGATATTCCAATAATTGTGCACGATATTCATGCAAATCTAAGCAATTTTGACATAATGCTTGAATATTAATTAAATCTTCAGGAGCGATTTCGGTACCCATAGAAACTTCTGCTAATTCCTTGACCTGAGCTTCAATATCTTCAGGAATGATTTCGGAAAGATCGGTATTCACAGCATTTGTTCGCATTCCAATAGCCATGACAGTTTTGATATAGGCAATGTTATCTGCAATAATCTTAGATAATTCAGGAAAATGCCAACCATACCATTCTTTGGCTCGCATTATATAATTGTTTAGTTCTTTATCGAGATCATCAAGCAAAGCTGTACAAAAATGAAAAGAAAATTTCATTTTTAGAAAAATCGATCAACTCAACAAGATTATAATAAGAAAACTTACAAATTGCCTGTATGATCATAGTATCCACCTTATCCGGACTGAATTTCAGTTTATATCGACCAAGTCTGTTAGAAAAGAACATCAAAATTTAGTAGGGAAAATAACAAAAAAATCAAAGTGTTTTCAATAATAAATAAATCTCAGAGGTAGTGACGATAAAACTGTATAATCAAATAATTTCATAAATGAAAAAAAAGGTTATCCATCATTGATAATTAGTGTTCATTAAGTTGGTGAAACAAACATCTTGACTCACCCATGACTTAATCCAAGTTGCATGGCTGCCTCTTCGTCTTCATTCCAATCTGGTACTAGTTCGGGTAAATGAATTCGAATGCATGTCATAAGCTCCTGAACTGCATTACTAGTAACACATTGAATATCAAGTTTTTCTTTGATGGATCCAGCTAATTTAGCATCGGCAACAGCCAATGTCTCATCCGAATAGACTGATAAAACTTTTTTCGAAAGAAATTTTTTCAATCTTTTGCTCAATTTTCCTTCAATCAAGGCCGTTGTTGATGTCAAAGCATCAGTAGCATCTTTGAATTTTTGATTACATTCAAATGACAATAATTTGGTTGCTTTTTTTGCATTCTCAAATTCTTTGTACAAATTGGCAGGTTGATTTAGCTTCGATTCATCATTAACCTAAGAAAACAAACACCATAAGCTTATTGAATGAATACATTTTTTATTTGTTTCAAAAATTCTCAAACCTTGAAGATATAAAATCCCGAGGCTGATTCAAGAAGGACCAACATATTTACAATCAAATAAAATTATCCTTAAAATTGACTGAAAACGGATGAATTTTTCAAAATGCATGCATGTGAAGAAAAAACGGCATGTATTTCGATGATGAACGAATCAGATATCGATATATCGAATAGTTAGTTGAAAATTTCAGAAACGAGATGTCGTTGCAAGTTGGTAAAATAAGTTGAAAATATTCAGTTCGGAAGAACAAAAAAAAATCATTCGAAATTATGTTGAAAATGAGAAAAGAATTTCATTTCATTGTTTATTAATTTCAATAAAAATTGAATTTAAAGTCTCAACGTTATTTTTTTTGGTTCTAATGGCAATCATGGCCATCAATGAATCGATAAAAACAAAGATAATAAAATTTAAATTTTAAGCGAATCCAATTTGATGGACGATCTGGGAATCGGTACGGTAGTTATTATTATTATTATCAACACAATCCTTGTTGAAAAATTCGATTTGTTCTGGAACAATTTTTTTTTTTGGCCTTTCGTCCATTCGATTACGAAACCAAGACAAAAAAAATCGATCAATTTTATGAGCTAAAAGTCAATTTCCATTGGCAATGGACATTTCGTTCAGACATTATAATGTGCTATTAAAAGTGTTCCAAGTTTCTGTTTTACTGGTTCCTTCTTATCAATAATAATTTTGTCTATCATTCTTCGGCAAAAACAATAAATGATGCATCAAAACTATAGTGAACGAAAAGTGCTGAATTTGATGATGATAATAATAAAAAAAGCTAGATGTTCATTTGGTTCACGATAATTGAGCCCGTTATGCGAAATAAGATGAATGAAACCAAATGAATAATTGATGGCAAGAATGAAGCAAGCAATGCACGCGTCTGCATTCATCTTTCATCATCATACTATAATAAAGTCTATTACAGATTGATCATCATCATCATCATCATAGCAACGATTAACTTCAAATAAAAGAGCTTCATCATGACATGATAAAATGATGGTCACCCCTTATCTATGTTTGTCTTCTTTTTTTGGCCATTGGACGCCATTACTCTGGATAGTTTTGTTGATGAAACTGAATGCTCATAAAAAAAATGTGCATCCATTTTTGTTGTTGTTGGTCCATTCGTTTATATTGTTGGCCATAATCATCACAGTTTATCATCATTCGATAGAAGAAAGCATTCATCGGCTATAAACAACAACAAATTCATCTTCTTTGAGATACATTACAGTTTAGCCGATGATAAACGAAAGAATAATCATGTGCTAAGATGTGCTCAGATTGATGATCCATCAAGATAAGAATTTAAACAAACAAACCATTTGGCGACATTATCGAATTTATTTTCGTAAAGATTTTAACATGATGAAATGATATATAAAATGATGGCTTTGTGCGGCTTTTTCGTCACATGAAAGGCAATGATGGGTAATGAAAGAGACAAAGAGAAAAAAGAAAGACAAGCCATAAATAGATGGTGAAAATGGAGGCCATCATCGGCAAAGATCATTCAATTCAATGTGCGCGCAATCATTCACCAATCGCCAATTGAAATCGAATTTGAACAAAAAAAAAAGGATTTTGTTTTGAAAAAAAGATCTTTTGTTCTCTTGGGTGATAATCGGCGGTAAATTCATTTCATTTCAATTCGATTCAATTATAAAAATAGAAATCAAGAGAGATCTATGAATTATGACCCATTATTGAACAATCAACTACATTAGATTAAATTAGGCCATCGTGATCTATTCAATGATGATCCATTTATTGTTCGTTTATCATTGATTGAATCAATTAGAATTCATGCTTTTTGGAAATTTTTTTTTTATTGTTGGTCACAATTACTCGTATTGTATTTATAAAGTCATCAGTTTAATGGAAACAACAAATGTATTGAATCTTGTGTGTTCTCTCTCTCTATGTGTGTGTTATAATTAGAGGGTTAAATATTTGCTCTAAATGAAAAAAAAGATAACAATATTGTCAATAAATGACAGTCAAATGTCACAAAAAGTCACAAATGAAACATTTTGTGAACAAGGGCAAATAATTTATTGTTATTATCCTCTAATCGTCACAAACACACACATTGGTTGGTTGTCATTGTACCTTATGAATTTGATTTGATTTTTGACTCAACTGGACACAATAATAAAAGTATACCACGCGAATGGATCGCGTTTTCAAATCTCTTTTTTTCCTCTATGAATTGCACTATAGTCGATTGATCTGTATTTTTTTGTGTCGTGTGTCACTTGGTGTGTGTGTGGGTAATTGTGTTTTAGCAACTCAATCATTCTGTTTGTCAAACGAAAAAAAAAAATGAAAACCGATCCTTGTTCACAATAAGCCTAATTAATCTATAGGCAATTTTCGGCTCCAAATTTGTTTAGAAATATCCCGGTGTGTGTGTGTATTGGTGTAAGTTTAAATACGATCCGTGAGGTCTATTTTTTTCCATAGATTGACATATAAACTTTTACCTTGGTGGGCCTTTCTCGTTATTCAATGTTTGAGGATAGCACGAGTCATAATATTGAAACACTGATTAGACACGAATAAATTGAGCTATCAAACAAGAACTTTACAAACACCTGATTAATAATAATAATAATAAATCCGTATTTGACACTTGTCACTAATCAGATTCATCGTTTGTTGTTGTTTTCATATATGATGAATTTGATGATTGATCAGATTTTTTTTAGTTTCCGAATGAATGAAAAATATACAGCAAGAAAAACAATATGGTATTTTCAGATTTATTTTGTTCGGGTGTCAGGTGCAGATGTTGAAGAAAAAAAAACCCGGTGTTTTAATTTTGTTTGTTCCAAGTTAAGAAAATGAACCCATAATGCATCATCATTCATTCATTCATTCGTTGGTACGTTCAAAATGATTATAGGAAACTATTTTGACAAGTCCCAAATCGGATTTTGATCATTAATTAAAATAAGTCAGACCAGCTATGAATCTGAATCTTGTTAAAGTTAGTGACAACATTATGTCAAGTGTATCCAGTATGTATGCATGTATGTGTAATCCAGTTGTTAACACGAGCTTAATCTTCCTATATGTGTGTGTTTGTTATGTTATATAAAATTATCATCAGGGCCATTTTCGCAGTTGGTGGACATGGTTGATTCTTTTATCAAAATGAAGAAAAACAACAACAAAAAATTCATGCCTTTTGTGTGTGTTGCACAATGACAAATTGATTAGAGATTCATTTTCATTCATTGATATATATGGAATGAAAAAAATTTGATAATCTTATTGTTGCCGGTTTGATTAATTAAATGCTTGTTTCCTTTATAACATTTTCTGTTACTTGTTGTAATCGGAAAATATTAACATTTAAAGCTTATAGCATTTTAATTAAATGCATCTGCTATTATATATTGTGTTGATTCTGGGTGAATCGAATCTGATTCTGATCGTTGTTTTGTCGTCACTTTTGGCTCATTTGTGGAGCATATAATTAGTTTTAAATATGAATGACAATTTGATGACGATTTCATGCCATACATAAAAAAATTTTCTTTTTTTCTTTCTTTCACATTACCATTTTGGTGATTTTTTTTGGGTGAAAATTGACAAAATTACTTGTGTTTGTCGATTCGGTTCGTGTGCGGCGGCCGGTATTTGTGTGTTAACGAATTGCATAAAATTTTTTTTCCAATTCAATTGGTTTCGGAGAGAGACAAAAACATTTCTCTGTTGTTGTTGTCGATTCTATAGTCATTCAACAGAAAGGGCAATAAAAATTTTCGAATGTTCAAAAAAAAAAAAAAATATTCTTCTAATTTAACTGGTGTGTACAAAGGGGTGTAAATCGGAATGTTGTTGTCAACCTAAATAATACAAGAACATTTTACATTTTGTTATGTATGGATCAAACAAACAAACAAAAATCATGTCACAATTTGATCATCATGGTTGATTGTTTTATAATTTATGCCTTATGTTTGTTTGTTGATTGGGTCATATTTACAAACAAAAACAACCAATCAAAACAATTAGAACATGATTCGAAACAATCCAATTATTGAAAATATTACATCGAGTTAAACGAATGGGAAATGAGCGAAAGGTCGATATAGAAATGTGTATCCAAAGATCTTTAATCGTTAAAAACACTTGTGAGCATGATCAAAAAGAATTTAAAAAAACAAAATTTGTATCATTCTGCAAGAATCGGTCATTTTTTCTTTGATCTTGTCCAAGATTATTGATGATGATGATTTGATGGGTATGGCCGTTTGTTGACCATCATCATCATCGTGAATCATCATTTGAATAAAAATCATCATTTGAAATCATTGATGAGCGAGTGATCAATTTTATTATTATTATGGCCATATTATGATCATTTTCAATGACGCCACCCAGTAACTGTGCAATTCAAAAGTCATTGGTCATAATTTTTTTTGTTTTTGTTTTTTGTTTTATGACCAATTTCAATCGAAAACCGAAAATTGAAACAAACCCAAAAGACAAAAGGACCAAAAAAAAAAAATTTTTAATGCCATTGTTGGTCATTGCCGTCGTCTTTCTTGTTTTTTTTTTAAACTTTAAGCGACAAGTTTCGGTAACTTTTGTCCCACTTCTTAGGTCTTGGGTGCTTCTTCGCGCTTTATTTTTTTTTTGTTTTTTTTGTCACTATGGTCCCACAATGTTTTTTTTTCAAATGAAATTGTCGGCTGAATATCAATTAAAAAAAGGCTATATTGACGACAATTATTGATTGAGACTAATTTGAAAATCTTAACAACAACAACAACAACAACAAAAAACGAAAATGGTGCAATCAGTCATTTTTGCGAAACAATTATAACCAAATTTTTTTATTTTTATTATAGTGATTATCAAAGCTAAGTTTGCAAAAACGAAAAGTTATTGCTTTTTGCTTGTTCAAACTTTTCCAAAATGGAATTCATACATTTTCATTACAATTCAATCATCTCATTTCTTATTTTTAATTTAGGAAAATAATAATCATATGGTTATACAAAACATGATGATAGATCCCAAACAATATGACTAATATAGATTGATTATGACAAAAAAAAACATCAAGCAAGCAAGCAACGTTATCGAAACATCATCATCATCATCAAACGAATCAGTCAGCAGGCCATCTTTTATATTACACAGAATATTATGTCAGTCGAAGAAGAAGAAGAAGAAGAATAAAACAACCCATGTGGAGTATCAACGACAACAAACAACAGCAAATTCTCTGATTCATAGAGAAAAAAAGAATTCTTATTATCGAATTCAATTTATTACTTGCAAACACACAACATGTGTATTCTTATCTTGGCTCTCCAATTTTATAAGATCTAAAATGAGCCGACATTCAATTCATTCAATATTTGGCGTTCAATACACCCTCACTTCCCCCCCAAAAAAAATACCCATGATGATGATGATGATGATGATAGGGGAGAGTCCAGCATAGATGTTAGATGCAATCCCAATAATCAAATAATAATTGCAATAAATTGCAATAAATGCGCTAATGATGCCCAAAACCAATGAATCAACCAATGAAAAATGATTACCAACCAAGCAATTTATGACTTGTGTAATGAAAAAAAAGCATTGTGGGCATTGTGCTTGCAAAAGCAATCGACCAATCACATGTAAGCAAAGGCGGTACCAAAAACCCATAAACATGAACAAACTAGCCAATAAGATATAGGTATTTTGACAATTTAAGATAGTTAGTATATGTGAATAGACGAATTGAATGAATCAAAGTGTTTATATACCATCATCATTATCATCATGATGATCATTGGGAGATCAACATCGAATGAATGATCATCGGTCATCATTGAAGAAAAAATTTGAGTGGTCAAGAATATTGTTTGAATAAACAACCATTTTTTTTTTTGAAAACTATTTTTTGTCAAAGTGATAATTCCTATTACAATTTTTACATAAGCTCAAACGAAAAAAATGAAACGAAACAATTCAACTACAATGATTGCAGCAAATAGATTTGAACAACATCATCAATTCAATCATCATGAACAAATGAAATTATTTCAATGTTCGGGTAATGATGTTCATCATCCTCCGCATCATCACAATCATCGTCGTTCACATGGACATCATCAATCGATCGGTATGATTGATTCTACAGTTGCAGCAACAATGGCTCCACAATTAACATCACCATCGCCATCACCAGCACCACCTTCTTCAACATCAACAACAAATTCGACCAACAAACGAAACAAATGTAAGTAACCATTGCAATTGAACTAAAACTTCCAAAAAAAATATGATATTGTGACATTTGATCAATATCGAATGCGAAACAACAAATTCATCAAACACAAACACTCAAAAACAATTTTAATCCTCAAATGATTTTTTAGTCATAAATAATTCTTAGCTAAAATTCTTTTTTATTCATTCATTTTCCAACTAACATATCATTTGTATTTGCATATGGGTTGTTTTTTTTATTGCCCATCAACATTTGAGAAATCAAAAAATCTAATGATCCCATTCTATTTGTTCAAATTGATTTGCTTACATTACATTACATCACATTTTTTATTTTTTTTATTTATTTATTAACAATCAAACCTCTGTGTTGTTTTTTCAAGTCAGCCGATCATCATTTGCTCATCATGATCATCATCATGGTGATGATAATTGTTGAATGTTGATGTTCGGTCAGTATGAACAAACACAATTGCCGCCAACATATAGATAGATAGAGAGAAAGAGAATGAAATTCCAAAATTGACACCTCCATTATTTCAATATATGGCTGTCGTGTGTTACAATGATGATTATTATTTACAATGCAAACACATATAGATAATGGCTTCATCATAATCATTATCATCATCAACAACAAACACAGAGCGCACACAACACAGGTGATGATCATCATCGATTGATGGTTGAATTTATTGCTTGATTGATTGCAAAAATCAAAGAAAAAATCATTCCGAAAATGATGCTGACAATTCAAACAAACGTATTGCATTTATACAACAGGAAAACGATTTTATTTATTTATTCATCGTATTTTTTTCTCCTTTTTCATCTGATTTATTTGCTTTCAATTATATTAGCTTAGAACTGGTCATCATCGTGTATGGATGATGATTTTAATCACATTCCTTAGTCATTCAGGCATTGATGTTTAAATCGAAATTCAAGCTGAATTTTTAAAATGGTGCGGCAGATACTAAGACAAAAGCTATGCTATTATGATTGATTCTAAATCATCATCATCAAACAGAGAAAGTGATTGAATTGAAATAAAGTAATTAAAATCAAAAAAAAATTTATGATTGAGCCGTTAGCCTATAAGGCGGCAATTGTTTGTCATTAGTTGTCATAAAAAAACGTCAGAATTTGAATTTTTTTACAAAAAAAACACCAATTGATTTTATTTCAACCAACCATTATTTCGAATGATTCTTCTTTTTTTTTTTTGATTTTCCTATGCAATCAGTATAATTATGCCAATAGAATAGAAATGTCAAACTAATCGTTGATTGTTGTTGTTGTTGTTGTTGTTGTTGACACACCTTCACACAATTGGTCAGTCATTATATGATCACTTGGGTGGTATTGTCCCTTATCAATTACAATCAATAACCCAAAGAGTTATTCATATAAAAATAAAAATTTTGGAATGTCGATGTTCCATGTGTTCGATTAAACAAATGAACTTGTCCAATGTGACATTCGTAAGGTAGATAGATTGTTTGTTTGTTTGTTTGGACATATTACCTGCTGTCATTCGTCGATCCAAATGACAATTCTCTTCTTCATTTATTACCCAAATTGCACAGTAGGTGGACAATAATATAGAAGAAGAGAGAGAGAGAATAATTGTTTAAAATGATTCAAATAAGCCAAAAAACAGATCAAGCAGTTAGAAGCAATTAATCTAACTTAAAGTTGTGTACTTGTTTGACAGTTCCTTAGTCACAGTAGATCCATTTAACTAAATTTTATCATCCAGAAAGAAAAAAACCTGGACCTGATAAAGTTTGTTAACCGGAAACATTATGTTTGTTGGTGGTCGATTTGGTAATGATTGTGGCCTGTGGCAATCGATTGAGCAAAAGAGCAATGTTTCATTTGAATTAAATTGATATGTCATCTGCCAGTAGAGTCATCATTATCATAATCATACTAATGAACAGAAACGTTGATTCAGAATAATTGGTGGCTAATTTGTTGTTTTTTTTTTAATTTTAAAATAACAGCATCATCAAACAATTCGATCAAAAACAAAGAAAGCCATAATGAAGGAGATAATACAACTGCATCATTACGACGATATCGAACGGCATTCACCCGTGAACAATTAACTTTACTTGAAAAGGAATTCGTTCGTGAAAATTATGTATCCAGACATCGACGATGTGAATTGGCTGCAGCATTAGATTTACCCGAAAGTACAATCAAGGTACGTGTCAAAAGTCAAAAAATTTCTTAAAAGTTTAGCTAAAAATAGTAAAATATTTGAAAAAAATGATAATTTTGCAAATGGAATGGCAAAAATAGAAACAAAAATCTGGATATCGCATATGCACATCAATATGGAGCCTTATTTTTTTACATTAATAATGCGCATGCAAACAGAGCATCCTAATGGACATTTTTTTTTGCTATCATCATTATAGGTCTGGTTTCAAAATCGTCGAATGAAAGACAAACGCCATCGAATGGCATTAACATGGCCATACGCCAATCCTCATCTTGCTGTTTATATGTTCGCTGCTGCAGCAACAGCCGCATCATATGGTCAACCAGCAGCTATGTATTGGAATCGTGCAGCTGCTGCTGCGGCAGCTGCCGCTGCTGCACCGCAATCAACACCACAATCACCATACAATAGCCATCATGATGAACATCAACCGCCAAATTCAGCCAATCATCATCATGAACAAACATCGGATGTTGATCAAACAAATGGCAAAGTGCAAAACGCATCTCAACCAGGATATCATCCATTGATGATTGGTGCACCAGCTTCTGGTGAAACATTATCACCATTTATGATGATGACTAATGGAATGGGCGCTACTTGTCCAATGATTGGAAACTCATCGGCAACAGTGGTAACGACTACCAAATCACCTACAAATACAATGGTCGCTAATATGGATCAAATAACTCGCCATAATGGTGTATGCTGTGCATCACCATCATTACCAATGGCATGTTTAGATGTATGCAGTTCCTCCATACATTCACCAACAACAACAACATCATCATCATCATCTTTATCATCATCACCATCGACAATGGCTATTGCTCATTCACCACCAATGACAAAATTCAAACAAGAACAAATGATGCATAACAATGGAATTATGATGATGCCAACAACATTAGAAATGAATCGAAAATCGAAATTATTTCAACCATACAAAAATGATCTAGACAAATAATTTCATCTATTAATTCTGAGCAAAAAAAAAAGAGGATGCCATCTAGTCCAATCATTGGCTCCATTAACACTTATTTATATAGATACGTAGCATTCAATTATTGTACATCTATTAGCAGCATCTAACAATTAGCACAACATTGAGAATGCATTCGTTTTTTTTCTTTTTGATTGTCTTTCCTGTTCAATTTTTTTCCCATTTACTTTTGTGAACAGTGAATACCTGAATTACTCATTATAATTATTTACAAATGTACACTCACAAACATAAACTTATGCAAAAAAAAATGTTTCAATTAATAAATTTAATTAAAAAAATTTATTTAAAAAACTTGATACAATAGAAAAATTGATCTTGACAAAACCATTGTCAAGATCAAATACAAATAGAGAAGGTGATTGATGAAAGTTCAACTACGAAAAAAATTTTGGCTTTTTTGACAAGTAATATCATTAGCAATACTGGTCAATGAAGAGGAATGAGTTTGTTTTAGGTAAACGATTCTTTTGATACGACGACTAAGAGCATCAATAAATATGTTATTCGCTCCAGATACGGATTGTATTTTGGCAAAAAATACTTCATTAAATGTTGATTCAGCTTGTGATCGCAAAACATTGATTTCTTGCATTAGTTCCAAAGATATATCAGCCGTTGTTGTAGACATTGAAAAATACATATTGAAATGAGTCCACAATAAGTATAGGGCTGATTCAATTATTGGAATACTATCAGCTGCTAATTCATTGGAACGAGTGGTGCACCTATTGATGATGGAAACCAAGAGACCAAGATTGGGCTTACAATATAATCGAGAATCAGTATATGTGAGCGATGGTTCGAATAAAGGCTGACCAGTTGCTAATAATTGTATGGTTGGAAAAAAAAATAAATTCAAATTAAAATCAAACCTGATGACGAGTGAACATAATAAATAATTACCATTGGATGAAACGAGTTGTACACAAGCATTCAAAATATTAAAAACAATTTGACTGTCTGTTGTAGCCAATGATTGTTCACCTGAACAAAATAGCGGTAATAATCCAATAAAATTGGTTTGAAGCGTTCGATTTACGTTCAATACAAGACGGCCAATCAAACGAGAAACTAGCAACAATAATTCCGATCCGTTAACACTTTCTTTGATTGTGGGTGCCAAACGTATTAAATCATGAAGAACTGAATGGGCTGATATAAACGAGCCAAACTATAGAGAGAAAAAAATAAGGATATCAAAAATAAAATGTTAGTGAAAACAAACCTCAGCCATAATCTGTCGGTTATTGCTGATGGTCGTAATAGTGATCATTAGACGTAAAATGTAGACAAACATCTTGAAACAAACGGGATTTTCGCATATCAAATATGGATACATATCGAAACATTGTAACGATTCAAGCGTCTGAACAAAATCAAGATTGTTCAACAAACTATTAAGTAGAAAGTCAACATTGGATGATGAAAATATCATGAGTAATAGCATCTAATTAAATGAAAAAAAAGAAAGAAAAAGTTGGAAAAAAACGGTCAATCATTTTACAAAGCCCTACCATTTTAGATTCAAAGACATAAAAAGCTTTGATAAATTCGTATTTATTGGCGCGAATTTCACGCTCATCTGACAGAAGACTCAAAAGCAATTGTTTTAATGAACCATTCAATATTAATTCATTGAGCCAATTAGAACAATCGCAACGATTTAGTATTGAAATAGCCAACATTTTGGCCACTTCATGACCAGCAAGAATATCTCGAGTAAATTTATCAAGAAGATTTGATGAGAATCGCAATTCTTTGAACAAAAGTGGTGGCAATAAACGAAACAAATACAGTAAAGATGCGTAGAAATTGATTCGTGCCCGCTTTTGTTTTGACCATATAAGCGAAGAATTCTCCAGTACGTGCATAATCGAACGAATACATGAAGAAATATTTGTTATGCTTTTCGAATCGATTTTGTCCAAAGCCCATGAGGCAATCAAAATGGTAGAAGAAATGGATCGATAAAAATGATCATTTGTTGATGGATTCATAATCCGGTTGATAAGCTCAAGATTGATTTCGGTCAAATAGCGTGATTGCATTTCTTGTTCCATGCCAGATCCTGCAAGGCAGCTACACAAAATGATGATCTGCACTAATTCACACCATGAATCGATGAATTCACTTTTCTGTTTGACCATTTCAATTGACTGATTAACCGATGTACAATATAGCATAATATTTTTGATCTCTTCACGAAGAAGACCTGAAGATGATAGACCAATCTGAGTACCGAGAGCACGGATTTCATTGAACAATTTTTGATGCAACAATGGTAAATCAATCGTTTGATCAACATTTAAACATTCCGAAATGGTTTTTTGTAATTCTTTAGAATCGAAATAATCGAAGCCTTGCATAGTTGGATGATCATGTTCAAAGATGAAAGAATAAAGAAAGCCAAGAATTCGAGGTTTTTTGGTCTCTTTGAACAAGAATGAAACATACGATGAACAATATGATTGAAGTTTCTGTTCAGAAGTGACACGTATATCGATCGCAAGAATCTTGAGGAAATATGTTATTTCGAACAACAAAGATTCAATGACTTTTTTCTCATCCGCAAGTTGACTTGTAGTCAATCGGTGCCAGAATTTCAAATATTGAAGATTGAATTCGTAGCTTGATCGTAAAACACGTAAAACAATCTCGTTTGTATGAACGGATGAACATAATTTGTAGATAATATGCATACCAAGTTTACGTTCTTCAATCAGGTCTTGCCATTCAATAATTGAGCCATCGAACAATGAAAGAATAGAATGCAAACAAGTGTAGTTCTGACCAAAAAGACTAACGTTCTTAAGTGAAAATAGTTTACTTTCGATACCGATTAATTTGTGAGCAAACGTATATTTGCTAGTGGTTGATCCATGTCCCAAAAAAGTATCAATGAACAGGAGAGTTTCTTTACGTAATTCTTGACTGTCACGTTCTAAGCAATCGACAAACATTTGATTTAACTGTTCTGATTTGAGCATTGGATTCTGTACATTCGAACAGCATTGCATTAAACATAGGTAGGTCGTTTCAAAATTCGATTCACATAACGAACGTAACAGTCGCAATGAATGAATGGCTATAGATGTCGAAAAGGGTAACATTCGGAATAATATAACTAATCGATCTTGACGATTAGTAGCCGGATTAATGTTATTAAACAATGTGTCAAATTTAACAAATGTCGACAAACAAAGTCCGCTAGCTCCTCGTATAGATTCAAAGAAAAGATCTTGACGTTGGCAAACTTCGCGCAGCAATGATAATATGGTAACGGTACAATTTTCAACCAATCTGCATGTTTGTTGTGGTCCATGATCATAATCTTTTAAGGTTGGCTGGTAGTAATGTTTTTCCAAATAGGTAACGCTTTCCTCTAAGCTTGAAATGATATGTCGAAATAGAACATTCTCTTGTAATATCTGTGTGAACACGGCCAACATTCGAGGAGTGAGCCCATCAAGGAAATCACATCGTTGAACAATGTTCAAGAGTAATTGATAGGCCAGTTTCATAATGATCCATTTTTCATCTTCATTTTTGAACATACGATAAGAAGTTTTTAGCAGAATAGAATCGATAATAAAATTGAAACAACTTTCTGACGCATTCATTTGATTCATAGTCATGCGAGATTCCAAATGAGAAAACAAAGTGTTCATCAATTCTAAGAATGCGATTGTTATCGGATATTCTTCATTTTTCACTTCAATTTCTTCGATTTCGATGGCAATACCGTTCTGCCATAATTTCGGATGGCTTAACATACCGGATTGATTATAGCGTGGTAGTATGGTTTCGATTTCACGCCAAATCATGTTCGATACAGATGATACGGTGGAAAATGCAGCAAAACATTTCAATATCTGAGCCTTTAATTCACGCGAAACGGCACAACGAAGTATCGACACCATAAGTGGAATAAAAAGATATTGTTGATTTTCGGCGAGAGCCACACAACAGGTTCGATCATTTCGGACAATTTCTTCCAACAGATTGACTATGGCACAAATCGATTCAACGTCTGCTGCGGCTGCTGATTTTCGCCTGCTTCCTTGATTGTGTGCATGTTGATGAAAGTGGTTATTGAAGCCAGCAGATAACGGGGCTGAAGCACTAATTCGATCGGTATTGTCCGAACCTCGTACTGTATTAAGGTAATCATTTAGCGTTTCGCTAAATGAACTTATCGAGAATTGAATGCTAGTGTGAAAACTGGTGTTCTTGATGAGATTGAAAACGTTAAACGGTGAGTGGCGAGCCAATGATCGAAAAAAATTTATGACAGCGGCATGCAATACTTGTGGAAAAAAAGATTCATGCAATGAACGAACAAATTTATGAAGCACTTGCTGCCGGGACAAAACCGATTTCGAGTGAGGTTGTTGTTGATCCACATTCAGCCAAAAGTCATTTGACAGACTATATGGATCCGCAAGATAAAAAGTAGCAAGAAAGCGAAGAAATTTTTCGAATTGAAGTGAAGCTTGTGACAAACTTGAGAATGGTTTAATTGATTCTGCTGATAAAGCATTCAATATAATTCCCGATTCGTCGGCTTTATCGCGTAATTCTTTAATTTTATGCGACATGTTCATAATCATTTCACAAATGATTGAATGAATTTTAAGAACAAAAAATTCTTCACTGTACAAATGTTTGTTTTGAGCCAACAGTTGGTTGAGATTTTCGAATACATTTTCTTCGATTGCTCGATCAATAAGTTTTTCTTCATCAATTTCTACCGAATCTAAACCAGGTAATGAGTATAAAGATAATGTTTTGAGATTTAACGATACAGCCAAACGGAGAACTGTTTTTATAGATTTGACAACAAATTCAGCTTCGTCTAACTTTGAAACAAATTCTGCAATAGAATTTCCATCCTTGATCCACCAGCAAGCATCGAATGTGGCAGATTGTCGTTGCTCATCATTTTCAAGTTCTTGAATGAAACTAACATCCAAAGCATAAAGCATGGACAACAATAATTCTGTGGTTACCGTATCTAGATAGGTACTTTCTAGACAACTTTTGTTTTGGATAAGTTCAAATATACTGAACATCTCTTTTCTTGAAAGATATGTTTGCGCTGAATAATTAAATATAATGTTGGCCGTAATCTTACGGATATCTTTCATCGTGTCAAAAACCTGTTTTCGGTATTTATAAGGACCAAGGCCCCGATTTTTTTCTAACATATCATATTCACGTTTAATATCGAATTCATTCAATATCTCACAACATCGTATGACTATGTTTTCCTCTTTTAATTCTTTGACGAAACGATTTATGCAGCGAGACATTTCTCGAGACAATTTGGATGTCCAACTTCGGCCACTGCTAATTTGAACTAGTGTTTGTAAGGCGTTCAAAAGATTTTTTTTACTATCATAATAGTAAAGAACGGCAACCGTTCCTCGGCTCATGTCTGGAAAGCGGGATAACTGATTTTGGCCTGTGATCAACAATTCCAATGCGGTGAGTTCGTTCAAGTTGAATAAATCAGATAAGAGCAAAGCTTCATTCACCATGTCTTGTGGTATGACTTTTTTAAATTTATTTTGATTTTCAATTATCGTTATACCATCTTTGCAAGCGTTTCGAACAACATCACGATGTAGCGAATTCTTCGGTGCATTTTTCATTGCCAAAATGAAATCAGTTTTATGTTTGATAAGAGCATTTTCAAGCTTCGAACAAGCTTGTAACGATCCATCTCGAATAGAATTTTTGATAAGATTGTTCAATTGCCGATATGGCAGCCAACAATGACCTAAGAAAAATTCATTATATTTCCATTGATCAAGTATGAAACGATGTATTACTTACCGAGATCGATTTGATTATCTACAACCATCATTTTCATTAAAATAAATGCCCGGTATTTTTAATGATCGAGCTATAAACGTTTGTTGAAACCGAAACAATTTCATAGATACATGTGGTAAAGCCACTGTGAAGCCACAGGCAAAAACGATGGCCGCGATACAATCGATACTTGCGACAGCAAAGTATAAAAATTCTCTCGAACTTTTTAGAATTAAAAATCTTATTGTTTTTATTGATGAAATGAAATGAATATGAAAAAAAAGAAGAAAAAAATATCTATACAGAATATAATTGATTAGGCACTTTTCAATATGTAAATCATTTATATGTAATAAAATCGATGAAATTCAATGAATAAAGAAGCATGTATGCAATTTGATCGGTTTTTTTTCTGTTAATCGTCGATTGAATCTAAAAATTGGGCATAAACATCACGTTTACATTCGCCTTTGGTATTGAACCGAAATTTGTAATAACTTCCATCTGCACATATAGCTATTAAAAATTGAATGTGATTAATGATTAATGATCGATAAGATAGATGGATATTCAACTAACCGATTACAGAATCGGGTTCCGAACCGAAAGCACATATGCATTGAGCACCGACAGGCACTTGAAATCGAGTAAAACTCCATTTTGAACTAAAATATTTCGAAATGAAAGACGCAGAGGCTAGACTGAAAATGGAGAATTTTTTCTGATGATTAAAGTGAAGAAATGTATTGAGTAACTTACTTGGACTGTTTATTCTTGCGGACATCATCGACAGCAAATATATGTACCGTACCATGATCACTTGATACACAAAGCAAAGAAGAATCTTGATTGAAATTTATGCTGAAATTAATAACATTTTAAAGATATTCGATAATGGTGACAATCAAATAACAAACCAATAAATATTCGCCGCATTAGCTCCTCGCCGCAGTTCATTCAACAGGATTCCAGTGGTTGTATCGAATATACGAATTAGTGTACCTTTTTCAGATGCTGTGGCCAATTTTGTCCCAGATAAATTTAACGCTAAACAACTCAAGGCCGAATCATGAGCAGTTATATCAAGCGGATTCTTTTCACCATCGGCCAAATCAATAATTTGTACATTGCCGATTTTTCGTGACGGAAAAGCCAAATAGGAATTATTACTGTTAGGACAAAGAACGGCAAGACCTTTTGGATTTGAACAGGTTTCAAACACATGCAATTGCTGAGGGATATGAGTAAATGTGTACACTTTGATCATGGTTTCCATTATGACAACAATTCGATCACGACGAAGTTTTACAGATTTGACAGTTGATTGAAATTCCAATTCAATAACATGTTTCTTTTTTAAATCATCCCAAACGATAACTGTGAAAGTTGATTCATCTGTCAAATTAGGCAATCAAGAATTCATTCAATGATATGTCATACCTTTTTTAGGAGAAAAACAAGGTTTATTACCACCACCTACTAATGCCAGATAATTACAACGGAATAACATCTCAACATAACCAATTCCTCCCCCAGTAAAATCTGCGAAAAATTATTGTCAAACAAAATAACCAACTCTTTTTAAACTTACACTACCTTGTTTTTCTTTCTCTTTGAGTGGATCGGAATTGTAAACACGAAAACCATTCTGTAGTCCACAAGCAAAACATCCTTGATCCTGATTGAAGCCGACGAACAAAAGATTTTTGTTGTTCAATGATGAATCAATCTTTTGAACATTCATTATTTGCGAAAATCAAATTACCCTAACGGTATCGTTGAGTAATATGGGTGTATCACTCTTTAATTTTTTTTTTAATTTTTATCTTTCGCTCTTTTTTTTTCAATCACCACCTTTTATTTTCAAATTCATCCACAATGACTGTATAGTGTTTTAAAAATGTTCAAAATCTTAACCTTATTGAAAAGGTCAATGTTTACAAATGTTTACAATCGATTCAACAATAATTGAATAGGAGCTTAGGATTTATTTTGAAATAATAAAAAAAATGAAAACACAACGTATGAAAAAATTTAATAAAAGCTGTCAGGCAACTTTTTCCATACAAACTTTTGAGCAAGATAATTTGACATCAGCTTAAAGACTATTACGGAATATTGCGTTGGAATGTATTTATGCATGTGGATAAAATCGGTTATTTTTAATATAATTGTTTGGATCGTTCCATGACCATCATGACAATTGAATTGAATTGTTTAATCAGAATAACATAAAAGAGCATGAGTAGGAAAAGATAAAGGCAACAACAACATTCATTCTGTTATCATTATAAAACTATATATATATTTTCTGGCTCGATTCTATATAATAATTTGATCAAATCCTTTCACCTTGTATCATTAAAATTTTGTTATCATAAACCAATCAGATTGGAAAAAATTTCTGATATTCTGGTGGGTTTTTCATCGTTAGTAATCATTCAGAAAAATTGTTATTAACAAAATGGTAAGTCGTAATTTTTTGGATAGTAAACTAATAAATTGGCGTTTCTTTTTTTTTTTGTTGTTGACAGGAATTACAACTCAAAGTAGCCACTTGTCCAAACGATGTTTTATCATACACTAATCGAGCTGTGGTCAATCCAAATGATATACAATCATTCAGCAATACTAAGTATGTCAAAACAAAATTATACATTAGGTTAACATTCTAACATTATCATCATTAGATATGCCGAGGTTATCAATTCGCAACATCAACATTTTATTTTTACTCTCGAACCAAGCGATTTGATTCAACGAAATTATATAGGATTCAATGTGTTGATGGTTCGTGATTTAGTCATTGGTTTAACTTGAAATAGAATTTTTTTTATTTGTTACAGAGAAAATGGGCACTGTTAAGTACAAACGAATTGCTTATTGTCCGACCATATATTCCAGATTTGAAAAAACATTCTGTGGCCAAAATGACAGTTACTGTAGAATACGTGCAAAAAACGAATGCCGTCGATACATTCAACACAGATGAAATGGCTGCCGAATTCTTACGACAATTCACACGACAATCGTTTACCAAAGATCAAATGGTATTGTATTTAATATAATTTTACAGTCAAATGATGGCTAACAATTATTCATTTTTTTTCATTCAGTGTGTTTTCAAATTTCAAGACAAAAGACTTTTGAAATTAGTTGTGAAGGAAATGGAAGCGATAGCTGTTGATTTGGAAAAAAATATCGGACCAAAAATTGATTTCGGCATACTGTTACCGAATTCACAGATAGTATTCGAGAAATCGACTGAATCCGGCATCAAATTGACTGGACAGGCCAAAGGTAAAATCGTCCGTCAATCGATCATTAATCCGAATTGGGATTTTGAATCTATGGGCATCGGTGGCCTAGACAGAGAATTCAATGCTATATTCCGTCGGGCTTTTGCATCTCGTGTATTTCCTCCTGAGATAATCGAAGAACTTGGTATCAAACATGTTCGTGGTATTCTTCTATTTGGTCCACCTGGTACTGGCAAGACTTTGATGGCTAGACAGATTGGAAAAATGTTGAACGCTCGTGAACCAAAAATCGTTAATGGACCTCAAATATTAGACAAGTATGTTGGCGAATCTGAAGCAAACATTCGTAAATTGTTCGAAGATGCTGAAGAAGAACAAGCACGAATGGGTATCAATAGCGGTTTACACATTATTATTTTCGATGAAATCGATGCCATCTGCAAGGCTCGAGGATCGGTGGCCGGAACATCGGCCGTTCATGATACAGTTGTCAATCAGTTGTTGGCCAAAATTGATGGCGTTGATTCGCTGAACAACATCTTAGTCATCGGTATGACTAACCGTAAAGACATGATTGATGAGGCATTGCTTCGACCTGGTCGACTTGAAGTGCAAATGGAAATCAGTCTTCCTAATGAAGAAGGTCGTGTTCAAATATTGAACATTCATACCAGTAAAATGCGTCAGTACAAAAAAGTTGCGCCCGATGTTGACATTCGAGAATTGGCAACATTGACTAAAAATTTTTCCGGTGCCGAAATTGAAGGCTTAGTTAGGGCGGCTCAATCAACTGCTATGAACCGACTGGTCAAAGCGACAAGCAAAGTAGAATTGGATGCTCAGGCTTATGAGAAATTACTTGTAACTCGTAATGACTTCATGTTGGCGCTTGAAAATGACATCAAACCAGCATTCGGCACAAGTACTGAAACGATTGAACGTCTTATTATGGATGGTATCATTATATGGAATCAAGTGATTAGTGAATTGCTCGATGATGGTCATTTGTTTACGGAACAAGTTCGATCTCCCGAAAGTTCGCATGGCATCGTCAGCATTTTGATTGAAGGAAATCCGAACAGTGGAAAAACTGCTTTAGCCGGCCGTATTGCGCTTAATTCTAATTTTCCATTCATCAAACTGTGTTCGCCGGACGATATGGTTGGGTTCACTGAACCAGCTAAATGTCAAGCTATTCGTAAAGTCTTCGATGATGCATACAAATCTACATTAAGTTGCATATTGGTTGATAACATTGAACGTCTTCTCGATTATGGACCCATTGGACCTAGGTATTCGAATCTGGTGCTACAGGCATTGATGGTGTTGCTAAAGAAAGAACCACCACCCGGTAAAAAATTGTTGGTTCTATGTACGACTAGTTGCCGTCAATTACTACATGATATGGAATTGTTACCTACATTCACAACCGTACTTCATTGTCCAAATTTGACCACAGCCGATGATATGCTGGCTGTTTTGCAAGCTTTTGCCATCGATTCTGGCAATATCAAGTCGTGTTTCTCCGTTGCAGAAATTCGACAAATTTATGAAATGACAAAAGGACGACGTTTAACTATTGGCATCAAAAAACTGATTGCTTACATCGATATGGCAAAACAGGTGAGACTATTTCAAGGCACTTTTTTTCATTTCATCAATGGGCAACCATTCTATATTTTTCCTTCTTTTTTTTCACAGATGGATCCATCAGCTCGAGCCAGGAAATTAATATGCAAACTGGAAGACGAAGGAGCTATTCAATTGAGCTGAATTTGATTATGAACATGTATAGCTATAGAAAGTGTTCATTATTTGATGCAAATTCTATTTATTCATTTGTTATGTTGTTACAGTATTTATCAAACTGAACAACAATTCATATTCATTCCAATCTCTATATCAATCATTGTATGTGTGTGTGTATGTGTTTAGTCCAAGTATTTTCTTAAGAAAATAATCATGTGTGTATAAGTATTTGTGTGTGTAACCAAATTTCATTGTCATTAATTATGTTGATGTTTTAATATTTTTAAAATGCAGCGAATATAGACAACTAGACAATCAATATTTTATGATTAGTTGGTAATTTGATTGAAAATATAGTATGCAGGTTCCACATGGTATGATGATGATGATATATTAAAACCATGTGAATCTAAAATTGAATAAAAAAAAATTGCCTTTTGGATCAAATTTATTTTCTCTATCGGTCATCATCAATAAGTTAACGGTAAGAGAGATAACGACCCAGTTTTTTTTTCTTCAATACGTTTGTAATCGTGTATATCTCATCTCTATGGAAACATTGCTTTTACTGTGCAGGTGGAACAATAAACAGTGATAGAAAGAGAAAAAAAAGAGATAATAACAACATTGGACCATTGTTGTTTTCCTGATCAGGTTCCATCATCATGATATTTGATTATCAACAAACACAAGCATCGCCTTATCGTCTTTACTTTTTTGACGTGATGTGGATACATAACGGAACGATGAGAGAACCTGTTGTCTTTTTTTTTGTTGTTGTTGATTGAATAGTATTTTTTTTTTTGTTGTTGTTTGAGTGTCTGTCCGGTTATATTACTCAAATTGTTGGCAACGAATATATCCAACAGCTGTCCTCGTTATCCACATCATAACGCGTAGTCATTTTATTCTGTGGTGGCTACGACGTTCCATCATCATTATTTTTTTTTTACTTACATTCAAAATGATGATGGATTGTAATGTTTCAAACGAATTTTGAAGCATCTTATTTTGATACGATGGAATTGGTAGATCGTACCGAAAATATAATTACATGTCGATTCGATCGATCATCACGATATCGATCTTGTTGTTTATGTATACAATTTTATTTTTCTTACGTGTTGGGCTTTTTTTCCAGCTTAATAATAGCAATTGCAATGATACAATTTTTTCAAACATTAAATCAACAATGGCTTATTTTGATTGGAGCCGGTCTATTATTCATAATAATTGGTGCATCTATCTACCGTAATGGTGTACTGAGGTTAGAAGAGTATTGCCATCATCGTCGTAGGTCAATGATTGGTAAACGTGATCGATCGAAACGTTGCAAACGTAAAGCACGTGAGAGTCATATATTCGAAAGTCATTTATCAATCAATATGCTGCCACAATGTTTCACCAGTTTAGATATCACATCATCAACAGCGATGAGTTCACAACGACAACAACAACACCATGCTAACAGACCTTTGATGTTGCTTCCAATCGATGCTCAACAAATGCTAAATAATCATATCAATCGAGATCTAGAAACTGTAGTCGATGTTCATGGCGATCATAACTTACAACAACAACCATCAATGTCAATTACACAGTCAACAAATGTTACTACGGAAAGCAATACATCGACTATTACAAACAATGAATTAGAATCATGTACAGAACTTATTTTTGAAAACGAATCGACCAATGATAATAGTTTGATTGAACAAGATAATGTCTCATCGATGATGAATGATCGCCTTCACTTAATATCGCAAGAACAAACAATCTCTGGTTCTGGTTCCGATTCCGAAGATTTAAATGCAAATAATGATATTGAAGCGCCGCCAAGCTATGATGATGTTATTACTGATTGCGCTATTTATCGTACATTATGATATAAATTAAGATTAATTTACCTTTAACTGTGATATAAGAATTTGTGATTAATTTATTCAATTATTAAAATAATATTCAATCAAATATGATACGTTTATTGTTTAATTTTTTTTTTTGGATCTGTAAATAAAATGGAGAAAACAAATTTTTATAAACAATGACGGAAAAAAGTACAAAATGATAATTTTTATAATGAACATGAAATCTGGAATCTAAAAAGTTTAAATTCGTCTTGTTGCAGCCGTTATTCGATTATTTTCGTGACCTAAATAATGGATAAATCAGAATGTTTTAATTAGCATTAACTTTGACTTTGTTTCAAAACTTACCTTGTTCCTTTAGATGAGTTGGATTTGTTACCTCGTTGATTAGTGGTGGTGGTCGCTTTTTTGGTGGCCAATTCTCGTTCTTCCAATTCTTGATTCTCTCGTTCGATCAATGTGATAAGCGTGTTGCAACGACGTTGTAATTCACTAGTTGTACGAGATTTAAGAAACCAATCGAAACGAAATTGTGGAGCTTCTCGAATGGCTAATTTCAAATCTTCATACACTTGTTCTCGATCAACACCCAATTTATGAAGCATACAAATGAGATATCGATCTTCTTCTTCGATGTAATTTTTTCCTTTGTTAGCGCCATAATTGATACGCAATTGATGGAATGGAGCCGAATATCGTTGCATTTTCATTTCGATTGCTCTTTTGATATCTTGACGTCGTTTAATACGTTGTTCACCTTTTTCAATCTGTGCAATAATTTTTTCACTATCAGCCAATTCTTGATATCGTTCCCAGAATACTTTAGCATAATCAATAACTTCTTCAGGCATCTTGCCTTCTATCTCCTTAGAAATTGAATCAATATCGTCGCGACCATATTTTTCGCACATTTTAATAAATTGATTAAAATCCCTTCGAGACCAATTGATAAATCCTTCTTGTAATAATTCTTCTTTTTCTTGTTGTTCATCTTCGGTTAGCGGCTCACTTTTGTCGATCAACTTTTGCTCTTGTTTTCGTTGTTTTTCCGCTCCTTCACCAAGATCCGGATTTAATGGTACTTTGTAGCCAATAGTTTTTCGATAATAATAAATTTCTTTGTCTAATAATTCGAAAAGTCGAGGTGGAAAAAATTGGAAATCCTGTACGTTTGGTTGTTTTGGTGGTCGAGGAGCTTTGGGTGCTTTTGGTTCGGAAACACGTAACGCTTCACGGAAATACGCATCGACTGCATAGTTAGCTTTTCGCTCACGCTTTGGCGGCTCTATCCAAGCGAATGTGGCCATCTTTTGTTTTTCTCGATAATCTTCACCTTCGAATTGATAGACACTGTCAGTGTTCGTATCAAGGGTGAAATTCTTTAGCTGTGATTCACCCAAAGTTTCGAGACGTTTTTTCATTTCTTCAGTTTTCGATTCACCTTTCTTTAGAATGGCGTCCAAATCTTCATCTGTGATTTCACTGTCTTTTGATGCAAAAATGTGATCGGCGCCATGACGAATCATACCCAATACTTCGTCTTTGCCTAATTTGTTGGCATTAGCATCGACAAGTCTTCCCTGTTGAATGACCAACGTATCTAAACGTAATTTGACTTCTGCACGTTCAACAATTCGTTCTTCCACAGTATTTTCTGTGATCAATCGAAAAACTCGAACGGCTTTTTTCTGACCGATACGATGTGCACGATCCTGTGCTTGAAGATCTGCCTGTGGATTCCAATCTGAATCATAGAGAATGACAATATCAGCCGTAGCAAGATTGATACCAAGACCACCAGCACGTGTACTTAACATGAAAAGAAATTTATCGCTATCTGGTTTATTGTATTCTTCTATACTTCGTTCTCGGTCTTCATGTGAAGTCTGGCCATCCAGACGACAGTATTTAAATCCACGCCAAAGACAATAATCTTCGAGAATATCAAGCATTCGAGTCATTTGGCTAAAGATAAGGACACGACTATCTTGTTCTTTAAGCCGTGGCAATAACTTATCGAGAATGGCCATTTTTCCACTATTGTCCACAAGATGCATATCTGTAGTATAAGGTGGACCTGGTTCGGCGCCATCAAACAAATACGGATGATTGGCACATTTACGCAACTGCATCAAAATATTCAATAGTCGAAGCTTGTCTGATTTACCAGCATTGTTTACAACGTCAATATCTTTCATGAGAATTCTCGTATACCATTCTCGCTGCATTCGACTAAGACCGACATAGATTTTTGTTTCAACTTTTGCCGGCAATTTTTTCTCTACTTCACTTTTCAAACGACGCAAAAGGAATGGCCTTAAAACACAATGTAAACGGTCAACAAGAGATTTGTCACCCAAACAAGAATTAGTATTAAACCATGAATCGAAATCATCTGACGAATTGAACACGTCAGGTAGAAGAAAGTTGAGAAGAGCCCACAGTTCATGCAAATTATTTTGCAATGGAGTACCGGTCAATAGCAAACGATTAGTCGATTTGAATTCACGAATAATTTCTGACAGTTTGCTTTTTTCATTTTTGATACGATGTGCTTCATCAATAACAATATAGCGCCAATTGAATTTTTTCAGCACACCTTTCTCTCTGATAACCATTTCGTACGATGTAACCAACACATCGAAACTGTTGGGTGGACCCATAAGAATATCGCGAATAATCTCATTACGCGCATCTTGATTTCCGATAAGGCAAACAGGCTTTAAACTTGGACACCATTTTCGTATCTCGTTCATCCAATTAGTCAATGTTGATTTTGGACTAATAACCATGTGAGGCCCGGCACCATTTTTGTAATGTTTCATGTAGCCAAGCAACGAGATGGTTTGTAACGTTTTGCCCAAACCCATTTCATCGGCCAAAATACCGTTGATACCATTCTCCATTAAGCTTATCATCCAATTTAAACCACGCACTTGATAGTCTCGCATTTCCCCGTTTTTAATATAAGTAGGACTTTGTTCGAAACGAAAAAAACCAACGGGTTTTTTTGTAGCCGAAAGCAATTCTTCATCTTCTTCCTGTTCGGTCATCCGATGACGATGATCACCAGGGGCAGAAGCTGCAGCTGCAGCTTCAGGAGGAGGGGGAGGAGGAGCTGGAGCTGGAGTTGTTGGAGCCTCTTTTGGTTTTGGTTTGCGTCCACGTTTTGCTGTCGCATTTGAATCAGCCAATGGTGTCACACCGGTTGTCATGAAATGAGAAAAAATTTCAGTCTGTTTAAGTAGATAATCAAAACGTTTTGAACGATCTTCTTTGACACGTGCATCAAAATCATTCGACGAGATCATTTTGGCGAATTCATCCACAGCTGATTCGGCCGGCGTTGTCGATTGAGAATCATCTGGTTCATTAGATGAATCGGCTTTTGATTCCATATCGTCCTCTTCCATTGGTGTTGTTGATACAGTCGGTTTATTAGCTTGTGATTCATCAACTACCATATCGATGTCATTATTGGTGGTTTTTGTCGAATCGGTTTGACATTTATCATCAGTTTCGTCGGATTTATTTTGATCATTAATCATTGTATCAGTGTTTTCGGTTTCATTAACTTTAGCAGACATTGTTAAACAATTAGATTAATGTCAAGATGTCACGGGGACAGAATTATTAAAATACGGCGATGGTGATTGTTATTAAATTTTTTTTTGGATAGTCGTTAGTTAACTTTCAATTACAACACTCAAGAACAATAGAACCGAAAGAATCGAATATCTGAAACGTGCTATTGTCACTTCAGTGTGGCAAACGTATTTTCGAATAAACCGAGTTATGGCTCTCCCTCTCCCTTTCTTTCGTCACTTGATTCACAGAGGCGCGCTACAAATATTGCCGGAAAATTTTTTCCAACCAATGATATTTCAATTGCTGGAAATATTGCTCTTCATGATCAACATAGATCACATGTGGTATTTTACCCATCTCATTATCGTACCGAATTCCAATCCAACATTAAACATTAATTTTATTGTTTAGTCGATTGGATTGGTCATTGTTAGTTATTCTTGTCTACATAGCTTTTTGTTTATATCGTTTTTTTTCTAAAAGGAAATTGAATTAAATTGAAACAATGATCATATCGGGATTACAATCACAATTATTATCATCGAATAGATTAAAATTAATGTTATTGGCAACACCGGTTCTTATCGGTTCTGGTTTATGTCTATATTATTATTATTTTTACAATAAATTTGATGATGAAAAATCAAAACAAAAGAAAAACAACAAAACAAAAGATGTGCCCGAAGATCCGGTTAGTATGACATATTAGTTTTATGAAAATTTTAATAATTATAATTACAAACAGATTAAAGCTAAATTGAATGAAGCAATTAAACTTAAGAATAAGGGTAATGAATTATTTCGTAAGAAAAACTATGAAGAAGCGTTAAAATTATATACACAAGCCATTCAATTGTGTCCACCGGACAAACGAAAAGAAATGTCCACATTCTATCAGAATAGAGCAGCATGTTATGAACACATGAAACAATTTGAACAAGTGATTCATGATTCGACCAAAGCCATAGAAAATGATAAACGCTATGTCAAAGCTTATCTTCGTCGTGGTAAAGGTTTGATTCATCATCAATCGATTTTTTTTCTTCAATTAATCGAATTTTTTTTATTTATTTAGCATATGAAATAATAGCCAACTATGAAGATGCATGCTGTGATTATTATGTAGCATCTAATTTATCACAGTTTCAGAATTCTGACTACATGAATCTATTGTCCGAATGTTTGGAAAAATATGCTTACAAACGAGCCGAACAAGTTATGTCCAAACGAAGTGTTTATACATTCCAAAAATATCTTTTCAAACATCTTTTGAATAAATATAGTCGCGATCCATTGAAACTGCGTGAAAAAGAAATAATGAGCGATAATTATGATTCAATCATTAATGATTTGCTCGCTCGTAATGATGACCTAAACCAAGATGATTTGTTACTTAAAGGTATGGTTAACCAATTTTTTTTATTGAAACCAATTTTTGGATGTTTATCACAGGATCAATCGAACTGTACATTGGCAAACATGATGATGGTCAAAAACGATTAATGAAATTGTTTGAAACATGTGATCATGTTGATTATAAAGTGAATGCTTTGCTCAAATTAGCTGAACATTCATTGCAAAATAATAAACTCGAAAAAACTGACCAATATTTGACCGATGCACTTGCTCTGGATGATGACAATCCTGATATATATTATATTCGATCACAGGTAAAATGTTCGATTTTTTCCTTAATGGCTTAATAACCAATCGAATTCCATTTACTAGATGTACATTGTTCAACGGAAATATGAAGAATCAATTCAAGATTTAAAACGTTCCATCGAACTTGATCCATCGTTTGTTGGTGCCATTGGTCAACGATTATTCATAAAATACCAACAAAGTATCATGACTAATAATTTTATTGGAAAAGAGCAGATCCTACAAGGTGCATATCTTTTTTGAAATTTCTTTTTCTTTGAGAGATTTTTATTTATTTTTTTTTCCTTAATTTTATTATCAGAATTCAAATCACAAATCGAACGTTTTTCCACCTCTAACGAGTTATCGTTGCTTTATTTTCAAGTATGTCTTTAGTAATTGATTGTTAGATAGTATTTCTAAACTTTGTAAAATTCAATGAATGAAATGAACAGATTTTATTAAGCGAAAACAAAACTAGCGATGCGGCAACCGTCATTCAAAAAGCATTGGATAGAGAACCCGATGATCCCACATTGTATGTTTATCGATCTTTGATCTTCATCGAGGAAAGCTCGTTCGATAAAGCCAAAGAATACTTGGGTAAGCATAAATTCATTCATCACTATGATCCTAAAATTTTTATTATATTCACTTAGACAAAGCATTGGAATTGGATTCAAGATGTAGTTTTGCATACGAAATGCTATCCGATTTGTGTTCTAAGTTGGAAAACTTTTCTCAATCTATCGATTATTTAGAAAGGGCTATCAATAGTTCGACTACATTCGAAGATGTGAAAAATCTTGTCATCAAGCAGAAAGCACTTACTATGCAACTTCAGTTTCAATCCTTATGAGGATAGTGACCATTGACTGTAAATGTAATGCTATATTTTTATTTAATGATTGTAAATTGTCAACAAATGATTAGCTAATTAAGATTTTGATACATTATTCTTTTTATTTCTTAATCCTTTTAAATATTTGAATCGAATCATCATGTTAATCATTTAGTAAAGAATCGCATTGGCTATTTCGATACAATTTGGCAATCGCATGCATGTTGTTGCGTGTCAATAGACATAAACAAAAAAGTGGTCGTGTTAATTGACTGACGTTGCCTAAGGAAATTTTTTGTTTTGATCATTTGATATTTGATTCTTTTTCTTTAAAACATCAATTGAAAATAACCAGGAAAACAAAAGACCCAAAATGGCTGAATTGCCAACATTGTTACAGTTTTATATGTCGATGCCGCCAGTAACCCGGGCCTATACTACTGCCTGTGTACTGACAACGTTGGCCGTGGTAAATTGTGATTCAATAGAATTATAATTATTTTATGTTAATTATACAATCATGTATCTTGTAGCAATTGGAACTAGTCTCACCATTTCAGCTTTATTTCAATCCAAATTTGATATTCCAAAAGTTTCAGATTTGGCGTCTCTTAACGACATTCCTATTTCATGGGCCACTTGGTTTCAGTTTTATGTTCAACATAATATTCACTTATCGACATTGTGCGATGCTCGAAGAAGGTACTTTTCGTTCTCGGACCGCCGATTTTTGTTATATGTTTTTGATTGGTGCTTCGCTTATGTGTGTATGTTATGATTTCATTTAAATAATTATCATTTTTTAAAAAAATTATAATCATTGATTTATTTTGATCTGGATAGATAATGGGATTTTTCGTAAATCTTCTTTTCTTGGGTCATGCTTTTACAATAATGTTAGTCTACGTTTGGAGCCGTCAAAATGAACATGTTCTTATGAGTTTCTTTGGCCTATTTCATTTTCATGCTCCTTATCTCCCATGGGTACTATTCGGTTTTTCATTTATTTTGGGTAATTCAATTCTTGTCGACCTATTGGGTATCGCTGTTGGTCATATCTATTATTATCTGGAAACCATATGTCCACGACGATTCGGTTTTCGGTTATTGAAGACACCTTATTTTTTGTATGTATCAATCTTTGATTATATCTTTGCCTAACTCTTGTCCTATTCTTTTGTTCATCCCGAATTTAGAGAACGATTGTTTCACAATGAAGAAGATGAAGCTGATGCTGCATATGATTATGCTGATCCGGTGGCTGCTGATGATCAATGAACATTGAAACAAGCAACCTATTTTTTTTTAATTGTCTCTGTAATAATTACCTGTATCATACCAGATGGAAAAATATTTTGTGGCAATTTTAATAAAACCATATGCCTGAAAGTAATTTCTAAATCCTGTTATCATAAATCTTGGTTAATTGTTCATTGTATAGAAAGCATCACAAATAAAGATTTATTTTTGATATCTGGTCATCCAGAAACGTAACTTATTCGAATTTGTTTTCTCTATATAATTGAGATGTTGTTTTTTTTTTTTTTGGTGGATCGAATATTTTATAACATTGAGATTTACTTTGCAATGTCGATTGTATATTTTTTTTGTCCTTAGTTTAGTTTTTGTGATCTACTGATTATATCCTACATACTAATTCATATGTCACAAGGTTTTTTTTATTACTCGGTTATTAAGTCATTATGACTATCAAATAGTAATTATGGATTGAGGATTTTTTTGAATACTGTTGCAATATGTATGCGTTTGATCCTAGTTAAAAAGACAACAATTTAATGGAAGAATTGTATCAATGTTGTTGTAGATTTGAATGTGTTTTTCTTTGTACTTTGTACATTTTTTGATTTTAGTTTTTTCATTGTTTCGAATCAACAAGTGTTATCCATCATTCCTCGATTGAATTGGAAAAAAAACGATCAAGATGATCGATAATGTGACAATATCGAAGTCATCTAAATGGTTGACCATATTGCGACGAAGTTGGCGTGTCATATTAGGCTTAATCGTACCAATTATTCTATGTCCTTTATTGTTTGATTTGAATAATAAGGTAGTGTAATGGATTAATTATGAAAAAAATGAAAAAAAAATTTTCGATTAGTTGAACACAGGTGCTTATGTCATGGCCATTATGGTTCTTTATTGGGTATTCGAACCGATCAATCTTTATATAACAGCATTGATTCCGGTCGCTTTGTTTCCTTTATTAGAAATTGCTTCGTAAGTATTATTATAGTAAAAATTTATTTGGCAACTAAACCATGATGAACAATTATAGAACCGAAGAGATAAGCCAAAATTATATGAAAGCAGCTAATATGATGTTTTTTGGTGGTTTAATAGTGGGTATTTCACTTGAACATTGTAATCTTCATCATCGAATTTCACTTAAAGTTATTATATGGTTTGGTTCAAGTATACCAATGTTAATGGCCGGTGTAATGATTGCTACTATGTTTTTATCAATGTGGATTAATAATACGGCCACAACAGCCATGATGATACCGATTGTAGATGATATACTTCGTGAAATAGGTTTGTTTAATGAATTTTATGATATTATTACATTGTAAATAATTTTATAAATTGATAATTAGCACTTATGAACAAAGAAGATGTTGAACAACAAACTAATGAAAATGGTGAACAACAACAATCAACAAATAATAAAAATGAAATATCGGATTCGACCGCTATAAGATATGTAAGTTTTGTAGTTTCATCAATTTTGAAATACCAAAATAAAATAAATATTGTATAGAATAATTTACGAAAAGCTTTTCTTTTGTCCATTGCTTATTCGGGTAAGTGATTTTGAAAAAAAAACAAAAATTCTAAATAAAAATTGATTTAAATATAATGATAGCCAATATTGGTGGAACGGCAACATTGACTGGTACAGGAACAAATCTAGTATTTCAAGATGTTTTTTTCAGGTATAAATTAATAATGATAATAATGAAAACAAAAACACCGTTAATATTTTTTATTATTAGTCATTATAAAAAAGATATGAGTTTTCTTTCATGGTTTTTCTTTGCTTTTCCATCGGCATGTTTGACCATAATGGCAGCATGGCTATTACTGTATCTAATGTATGCACGATCTTCTATGTAAGTATTGTATATTGACATTGACAATTTAAAATTTGTTAAAAAATTCATTTATTGCACCCAAAAATATTAACTGAACACTAGCACTGACATTCAAAAAGCTAGTCAACGTATTAAACAATCAGCCCGGAAAAAATATTCACATCTTGGTCCAATGACGTAAGCTTAGCAAAATATAGTAATGATCATTTGATCAAATGAAAGAATATAACCGATATTTTTTTTCAAATGGAATATTAAGATTCCATGAATATGGTGTAATGATATTTTTTCTAATTCTGGTGGCACTTTGGTTTTCAAGACATCCGGAAATAATACCTGGATGGGCTGATTATATTTCTTCAGATCCACATGTTAGTGATAAATTTTTTTTTGTTGTTGTTATAACCTAAAATAATGACCTAAAATAATTAACTGGTTAATGATGGATTAAAATTTAGAGCATAAAGGATGCAACACCAGTCATATTAATTACAGTTTTATTGTTTCTTGTACCAGCCAATTTTCATCAATTCTATTCGACGAATGAAAGTAACAATCAACGGTTGTTATGTTGGGATGTAGTCAAAACAAAAATGTCTTGGGGTGTAATCATATTGTTGGGTGGTGGATTTGCATTAGCTTATGGTACCGAGGTATTCCAAAATGTCGATGGTTCCATTTTTTATTTTGGTAATCATTTTATTTTGAATCTTTATAGAAATCTGGATTATCTAGTTGGTTTAGCAAGCAATTAAGTTATGTACATTTGAATCCTATTGTGACATTGATTGTATTATCAATATTGGGTGGTTCGATTACCGAAATGGCAAGTAATGTTGCTACGGCAAATGTTATATTACCGGTAGTTAGTAATTTGGTAAGCATTATTTGATTGATTGCCCAGAAATTTAAACTTCTATTGATCGATTATCATCATCATTGAAATAGGCTATTCAAATGAATATCAATCCATTACGATTTATGATACCGGTCACTATTTGTATTTCTTTTGCTTTCATGTTTCCCGTATCAACTGTAAGTCTCTTATTGTGTGTTTAGTCTTTATTTTTTTCATCTATTAATTCTTATTTTTACAATTGGAAAAAATTAGCCACCCAATGCAATTGTATTTGAATGTCTTAATACAAGCATTGTAGACATGATTAAACCTGGAATATTGATGAATATTATTGCCATAACATTACAACTTATTTCAATCAATACATTGGGTGTTTGGATATTTGATTTAAATAATTTTCCTGAATGGGCTAATCAAACATTGCCAATAAAGTTATCATGATTTTTTTAAAAAAATTCAAACTTTGCCGCTTTACTTTTTGAATTTGAAATTTCGACATGCTCAGCAAAACTGCGCAATACACTAAATTACATATTTTAAAATTTATTCAATGACATTATAATGATTCGAAATTCCAATTTGCAATTTTTCCCTGTATACAATTAATGTAACGCCAAAGAAAATATCCATTTTTTTCTCAACATGTTTCAACAATTTTCTATTTACTTGTATAATTTGCAAGTATTTACCCAGACATATTTTTGTTTTACTTTCAGTCAGTATCGCCAATAGGGCTATCATCATCATTTTTGGCATTCGAATTCATTCATTCGATTTATATTCGAACCCTGCACTCACACACACATCTGCTCTCGTTCTCGTCAAAAAAAAATTGTCGAATTTCCAACAGCCTAATCATCATCATCATCATCATCATCGTTGTCGACGACGTCAAGCAGGCAAGAAAACAATTTTATTTCATTTTACTTAAAAAATTAATAGAAAAGTCGGAGATAGTACAAGAATATTACAAAGATAAAAAATACAAAGAATACAATATATATAATTACAAAAAGCAAAAAACAAAAATAAAAAGAATTTTGCTACACCGTCAACACATGATCCTCACCCTCCTCTATATCTCCCTCACCATCACGCAAATCAACCCTCACACTTTCCCAGGTCCTCTTTAAAACCTGAGCTTGCAAATACGCACCAATATTTTCGGACACTCCAATACTCTTCAAATGTTTTTTATGAAACCGGGTCACCAACCCGTCCCAAGTGATGACAATCGGAACAATATTGACTTTAGCTCGTAGTGTCGACTTTAATTCATTAGCAAGTAATTCGTATTTACGTGCCTTCGTTATCTCCGTGTTTGGCAAGATGTTTTTATTAGTAATGCCAACCTCAATCAACCAGATTTCATTGGTTTTCAAATCATGAATTAAGAGATCCGGTTTGTCAAGCAGGCAATAATATACATGAACTGAAAAAAAAAAGAGAAAAGAACATGTGCATTCATTCATTTAATTAATCGGGGACCAAAAAAATCGACACAATACAGGGAATCTTGGTGTTTTTGTGATGATGATGGCGAATCGAATCCAAATCGATGTCAGCTGTGTGTATGGGTTTTTGTTAGTTCAATCGATCTGTAAAAAAAAAGAGGATGATAATGGTCGTCTGTTATAAAATAAATTGTGTTATGGTCGTTATTCGCGTAGACGATGATGACGACCATCGTTATCATTTGGCTGAGTTTATCGGTGAATTTAATGTTGTAGTGGTGGTGGTGATGGTGGTGTTTTCTCTCTCTCTCTCTCTCTCTCTCTGATTTTTTTAGCAAGTTGAATTCTACCCAGTTTTCTCAACATAAGTTCCCCAAAACATTATTTAGTTGATATAAGCCTTAAAAATAAAGCCATAATTCTCATTTATAGATCTCAGGTGAAAAAAAATATACATTTTTTGAAAATGTAGAAAATAGGGTAGGATTTTTTAAATTAAGATTAGATTTGTCATGTTCCAACAACAACAACAGCAGCAGCAGCCAAAGCTTGTTTCGATTTCTCTCTTTTCATATACAAAATTCAACTTTTGGTTGGTTTGTGCGCTCTCCCTTGTTTCGGCTGTATGGCTGGCATTTTTTTTTTTTTTTTTTTTTTTTTTTTGAAATTTTTTTTTTACCCTTTTCCACCTTT